CCAAGAACATTTGTTTGCAATATGAACTTTACGACTTTACATTAAGGCGGCAACATGTGTATTTTAATTGTTTTACATAGTATTGTATGCGTATGGAAGAATGAATTGTCGTGGGCGTAAGTTGAATTATGGAAATAGAGCGACGACAGTCGACGAGACGCGCTGTTCAAACAATGCCATAACGGTATGAGACGGCAATTTTAATTCTTTTCATATGAGGATACATTATTGAAAAGGTCATGTTGTCTATTAGGGGGTTGTTAAATGTCTTTACCGTCATGTGGTATTCAAACAAACGTATATATTTCGGGCATAAATCAAGTCATCGTAGGAATTTGTCTACCCACCAACTCCTTTCGCCTGTGATACAGGATATTCTTCCTAGTACAGGCATTCAAACCTAGTGAGATCTCTGATTTTAAATTAAGATACTTTGACCAATTTCTTATAATGAATAAAGATTTATTTATTTATATTTACTTATCGTAAGTCATTTCCGTAACTTCTTTATAGTAGGAAAGTCAGTGCTACAGTCAGCTCCGAGATTTCAAAGTTAACATACGGCTGTCATAGCATATGACAGACAGTAGATTGTCATATGCGTTCCCCTTAAAGCTAATTAGTACAGAGTCCCGTGGGTCACACCGGGAAGGTTTATGTGGATTGCCTACGTGGCCTAACGTGGCCGCGTGGCTACGTACACATTGTGCGCTGACCTCCTCTGACCTTTTACATTTCCTGCTATTGCCGACGGACAGTTTTTCATTAGGAATAGCTTTCATGACATATATTCACATACTTTGCAATAAGTGTAATGCGCACTAAATACACACTGCCTTCACGGCTTCATCGGACATTAACAAATGAAATGTCTAAGAATACTGACATTTTACTGGCTATTTCATAGAAATGAATTATGATATTTTAGCAACACTAAAAAGCTTTCTGATGTAGCGGTACGTTTTATGATTTTAATTATATTTGGTATTCCGAAGTTCAATTTGTTTATAAAACTAGTTTTACTATCACTTCTATAAGTAGATATCAAGTTGACTGCCGTAAGTAGGTATTCTTTCTAGATTTCATCCTACTTTTCATTTCGACATAGCAACAGGTCGACATCTATTCGACCGGAGCCGTGGACGTCTTGTTCTCTAGTTAACATTATCAATTTGTTTTACAACTATCTTGACATACTTACAATACATAAAACTTATATAAAATTATGTAGATGGAAAAATAATTCGAACATGTTAATGTTCCACTGTGTTATCGCCATTCTTCATTGAATTTAAGCTATTATCTGTGGTTTATTGACTATTAAGTAATCTTTTATGAAGTAGGTAGGCGTTCATGCAGGAGAAAATAGAATTGCTTTCGCGAATAGCTGTTAAGCACGCAGGGCTTTATATATCTATCTCTGCATTGAGTAGTAACAAATGTCATTAAACAGTTTTTATTACCCACAGACTAAATACCCATTTAAAAAGTCTACGTACATTTTACCCTATTAAAACTATTATTATTTTTTTAACTCTATAAACAATAAGGCTTTCAATATCTATTATTATATAGATAGCCATCAATTAATTCAAAACTGATTGTGTTAGGAAGCAATTGACATTTTTTGCTGCATTGTTTTAAAAATTGGAAACTGGAGGTTGTCAATAATCAATATATTTTAATCTTACAAAAAATCGTTTGTAGCTAATAGTACCTACACAATCAAAATGAAAATGGCGGCCATTTTCTAACCGACGTCAGCACGTTCGTTATTGGTCGGTAGGTCCGTAGCACGTGCGCAGCGTCGCGACGCAATACCTATTCTCTTTATGAACGTCCGCCATGAAAGTCGTCATCTCTGGCAGGACCAATCATAACACGCACATTTTTAGCACAGTTTTCTATCTATCGTTATTTCTTTTCATTAAAATACCTATTACACAAATATTAATGCACTTTCGCACTATTCGTCAGAGATATACAATAGATAACGGTATGTATGTACATGTTAAATTGATATGAAATACAAATGCTCGTAGTTGTACCTCCATATTTTCTTTGTAATCGTTATCAATAGGTAACATGTGATATAGATAATTCAAATGAGAGTGTGTACATTAGGGATTTGTCAAAACCTGCCTACATTTTCAGCCATTCATATTATTGTGTGCAGTAAGATAATGTTGGTATTACCACTGATATGATTAAGTGATTTAGCGATAATCGTTTTCTATATACGAGTAGGCCCAAAATTTGTAAGAGATTTAAAAGATCTGATCACAACGGTGATTGTAAATTGTTTATGAGAAATATAAGACAAATTAACCCTAAAATTTAGATAAAGATACGAATAATTTGATACATTTGTCAGTGTTCATGGTGCAAGCGACCTTACTAATATAAACTTTAAATAGATTGGCGTCGGGGCACTTGCTCCATTCAACGGTCGAAATAAATAACAACAACAATCTATTAGATTTGAGATATAATCTGGTGCAAGTGCGTGTTTCATCACTGGCCGGTGCAAATCCGCGGGAGGTTCTTTCATTTCACAATAGCTGTCTGTTCGGTATAAGCCGACTGATTTAGCTGGCTTCGTAAATGAGCTAAACCGAGGCGAATACGGTGCCTAGCGCACCGCCCAGCGCAAAGAATAAAATTAACTTTACACACAGACAAGTCTCAGCTTTTAGGACCCAATAATTTGCAAACTATTCGAGTCTTTGTAACGCTAGAGTTATAACAGGTTACGCAATCTGGCATTAGGATAGAATGCATGTGGCATGCCGACATACAGGTAGATAGACAGCAATCATACATATCGTAGAAAAAATCACTTAAATTGTAATCAAGCCATTTGTTAATTCATAATGACCCTCACATACCTATATACTAATGTAAGCATAGATGTCTTCTTCTATTTAACCACTACCATTAGAAACAGTAAAAGATAGAACGAGTGTTTATTAAAGTTTGATGTATTGGAGGATACAAAATAAATATTAAAAAGCTAAGTACCTACGTTATAGGTGTAAAAGAGTTATGGTGTTTTGTGTAGTGCGCTGTTGGTTTTCATTATTGACAGATTTTGTATCTTAGAGACCACATCGTAGTACGGTGTGGCTCTGTGGCAGTATAGTCTATGTGGTTGTTGCTCAAGCTCGTCTAGTCGCGGTGGAGGAGCCACTGCGCAATCGTTCGATCCGCAAAGGTCATGGAAGGAATTCGCGCGGTCCGGCGCACTTGCGACACCCCACGCTGCTCCAAAGAGGTTCCGATCGCTGCCGACCGGGCTCACCGATTACTTTAACTCTATTTCACCTGTTCGCAACAAAAAACGAATCGAATTACAGAACATGCACGAATTGCGTTCTATTTAATAGTAAAAACGAATAACGTCTAAACTATGCACACTTAATCGTAGACATAACTAGTTGAAGTCGTCAACATTAAACAATAGAAAAGCAAACAGATAAAACACTACACATAACTTATCAATATTTACATATTCTATCATGGCATGAACTAATAGGAAATTACTTCACACTTACCTTTACCCAGATACCTATCTAGTCTATATATACTTAGAAATAAGTACGCATATTTATAAAACACCTACTATAAGTGATTATAATTACGGAAATATCTGTTTGCACATCAAGTACAGTAAAGCAGTAAGCAATTATAAGACCAACTAAAAATAAAGAAGAATGATATACTATTCTTCAGGTACGTGTGTAAAGGTTTTCCACGCATTCCAAGTAAACGAGTGGATGGAAGTAGTATTGTATTTAAATAAAACAGAGCTTTTAAAGAGATGTCAAAGATTTGTCTGACATGTAAGCAAGCTCAATGATTGATTAGCCGCGCAGGTGTACAGGCGCACATACTACGCACCACGTAGTACATCCACTACAGCTTACAAGTTTTACTACGACTACATTAATTTTATCGTCACTCGTAAACGGCGTGCAGTCGTTTAAGGTGTACTTCTATCGAAGTGCTTAGAGATTAAACACTTTCTAATTTATCTACAATTATATTGTGGCCCATAAAACGATTGATTACTTTTCTCCTTTGACATATCTGACAATACTTCACATAGAATAAACTGCTGACATGTTGATTCGACAATTTAAATTAATTTCGATGTCAGAATCTCATCCCGAAATGTGTACGTATGAAGTGATCCGATATGAAAGCTCTTGCTCGTCACCTGCGCGCGCGCGTGGGCCTGTCGCTATTGTATGCTAATATCGCACGCCGCGCCGCGCGCCGGCGCAACACAGCTTGCCCACCTAGCAAGGAGAAATTGTTCAAAATTGTGTAAATTCATAATGTTAATCGTTACTGTAATCCTCTTAAGTATGATTGATGAAGCCAATCAGTTTCCAGAAGCACGCCACTTGTTTGAGCTTTTTTTATTAATATAAACACATCGGTATTCCGGGTGTCGGCATATCACATAGGTGGTTCATTCCCACTACAAATAAAGTACTGTCTACTTTATTTGGCATTTTGACTACTTTCCTAATTCATAGCCAAAACACTTTACTTTGGTAAACGCAAAGGTAAACTTCTTTAGAAAACGCATCAAATTCTATCGTACAAGGTAATTATGAGCAGCCTACTTTTGTGAGAAAATGTTTGTAGATATTAATAAGTAAATAGGAATATAAGTACCTAATGGACTAGTTAAAATAAGTCGTCTTCGCCACTTAGGTACCTGGGTACTTTATTATTTTCGAGTCGCATACATAGAATAGATGTCTAATGAAGTCATAACAGCTGGTGCTGTGTCTATCATGATAATGCTACAAGTTCATAAATTCTTAAGTTTATTATCCTCAGATATACAGTATTACTTTATAGTCAAATCTCTAAACATTAAATCAAGAAGACTTTCTAATGTTATTAGCATTAGAATAGGATTTTCATAATAGGTTCGCGATAAGTATCTGCAAATCATCAAACGACGTCTGTTTGTTTTGTTACAGACATCTGAGCTAGAGTCGCTGCTGTGTAAGCAGGAGGGCGCCTCACTCGCGCCCGCCCACATGGACCTTTTCGACGGTGGAACTTCCTCACGCGACGATGCATTCCTCCGGCCTGCCCTATGGGAGGACATCGCTTCCTCCATCAGAAACATCGACCCCGAGAACGCGAACATGCTCGCGCCACTCGGTTCCACACACGTCAAGCTGGAAGCTGACGAGGCGCTCCTGGAGGAGTGCGCCACCCCGCTACTCAGTCCCCTCGAGATCAAGACGGAGAGGCTTTGCGCGCCTCCCACGTATGCGCATCCGCAGCCGCCGCAGCACCAGCCGCCGCACCAGCCGAACACCTCGTTCGCCAAGTACCCGCCCTCGCGACTCGTGTACATGTCCCCGCTGACGCCGCCCAGCTCCGAGCAGGGCAGCCCCGGCAACACGATGCAGGTAACACGCACCTCCAGAGAGCTTGCGACGCTCGCGTACGGATGGTACCATCTATTGCTCAGCGATCTATTTATGTCGTGTCCTTTATTTAATTGCAGTAAAGTAATAAAAAAATGTAGCAGTTGGGAGTCGTTCTGGTTTTACAATTGTGATCAGGACAGTGGTAAGGTCCTGTAAGCGATAATGAAGTCCCCGATTTATGAGTCGAGCAACATTTGTGGTGTTATTCGCAGGGCGCAGGCCGGCGCACGCCGCCCCCGCCGTATCACCCGCCACCGCTGCTCAGAGCGCCGCACGTGCCTCCGCATCCTGGCCCGCACCAACATCACCATCCACAGGTGACTAACTCAACTTAACTCTAATCTAATCGTACATATAGTAGGTACCTACGTATAACAATTAAATTACAATTAGGCTATAAATAGAAATATTGTATAAGTTTAGATTAAGTGAGAACAAACAAAATGTGTGATAGTTAATCATAAATGAATAAAGTAGTTTGTTCCGATGCAGCCGATGGCGCCGGTGCAGGTGGCGCCGCAGCCACCGCCGCCGCCAGTACACCACACACCGCTGCAGCACGCGCGCCTGGCGCCGCCTCACCACGTCAAGTACAACCGGCGGAACAACCCCGAGCTCGAGAAGAGAAGAGTGCACCATTGTGACTTCATAGGTAACACCAACATTAAATATCATGGTTGTATCAATAAACCAATCATGTTTCAAACATAAACCGTATTCAGACTTGATTTGAGTACATCAGTAATGGAAAAATAACATATCATCAGGATGCAGGAGTAACCTAACCTAATTGTGAACATTTTCCACCTAGGTACACAATAAATTGTGTCGAAAAAGAAACGTTTTCAATCAGCAACACACCTTAATACCAGGTACATCTGCAACACTAGAGTCGAGATATCAGTAGAGGGATATGTAGGAAAAAGTTTACTTTTTGAAATAACCATGCTGTAGTCCGACCTGGGGAAAAAATTCTCTCAAACATTGGAAACACAAACAAAACTTTGTATTATATTTGAAAATGTCATTGGGATGTTTAAAATTTCCTTCAGAATTGATTTGGGTACAAGTACAAACCAAAACACAAGATACCTACGTACCTATACATTCACTAGCACTAGCGTCTAGCACAATGTGGAGTAAGCTGACGATACAATAAAGATAGCTTGCTAGCCAAGTTTACGAGCTGATTGGTCAAGTGTGCCGGTGACCTCGGTTGAGGATATAACCCTAAATCTTTTGAACCCCCCACGCCTCACCAATACTTTGTCCTGATCGATCACAAATCTGGTAAAAAACGGTAAAACATCCGCGTTTTGCATGCATGCAACATAAATCTACATAATTTAATCAGACAGTCAATCCTGTTTTACCTTTGTTTGTGTTGTATGTTGTTTTGCTCGAACTACTCTTCTTCTGACGTCAACCCAAGTGTATTTTAAACTGTCAAACACGAAGCGGTCACCGGTGACCGCAACCTATTGTTCTATAATTGTGTCTACAAAACCGGTACTCGATGAGTTAAGGAAGGAACTATTATTTTCAGGTTGTACCAAAGTCTACACAAAAAGTTCGCATCTAAAGGCGCACCAGCGGATACACACAGGTATAACCTGCACTCATAATTATATTACTGACCCTGCGACTGCGAATTAATTGTCATAATCTAGGTGGCAATGCGAATATACCCTCTTAGTACTAAGAATCACAATATACACGTGTTCGAAGAAGTCTTGTATTTTAATTTAACTCAACCGTCTCCTTAATATGTACGTGGACTACTCAACAGCCCAGCGAAAGTAACAAATATACCTAATGGCAACAATGTACCTAAGTACCTACTGTGTTACGAGTATCGTTTAAATTTCACCGCAGTATATTGTCACTTGTCCAATTTATTTAACACAGACTTCTTACCTAGTAACTACTTTCTAAAAACCTTAATTTGACCCAGTACTCAGAGTCTATACAAACTTCCTTATCGAGACACGTGGTAGAGTTCATTGATATCGAACTGAAATTATGAAAGTCAACAAAGCTTGTCGATTAGGCAAATTTCCTTCGCTGAGTTTCTGGAAATAGCTCGAGACGTGACTTGATGTTATGACAGCATAACGACTATGGGTGCTGCATCGATGACACGATTCTGTCGCTATACATGAATCTTGCATGATACCTACATGCTTGATATACAACCAAGTGCAGTGCCCGATGAATTAGGACAAGCTAACTGTAAAATGTGAAGTAATAACAAGGGCTTGTCTAGACAATACATCAAGTACTACATCGGAACGACACCACAGCCTCGTAAAAGCAGCTGCGTTAATAGTACCATTGCACTGGCCACTAGCAAGTGGTCAAAATGTGGTCGCTATCAAAATGTGTCGCAAATAATGTTATATCATGATGAACGTCAGACGTGTTCATGCTGGACAGCAGTTGCAGTGACCAGTTATGTGTTCCCAGGTGAGAAGCCGTATACGTGTCAGTGGCCAGAGTGCGAGTGGCGGTTCGCGCGATCTGACGAGCTGACGCGTCACTACCGCAAGCACACGGGGGCCAAGCCATTTAAATGCGCCGTCTGCGAACGCTCATTCGCACGCTCAGACCACTTGGCACTGCACATGAAGAGGCACCTGCCCAAGACGTCTAAATGACACACGAGGAGGGGCGGGGATCAGCCGCCCGCTCCACACAACACTCAGGTAACCACATTGTTCTAATGTCAATCTCTGCTTTATCATTTCATCTACTTTTTGTATTAATTAAAACTATTTGCACGACTGTTTTTAAAGACTGTCAAATGTAACACTGCCCTCCCTTTATTAACCGTTTAAGTAATTTACTTAACGCTTGAATCTTATTTATTTCATATTAATTCTTACGTAGTAATACGTTTTTTTCATTTCACAATATTATCTTTATATTTTCCAGGAGGAGTGCAGTGAGAGCATCTTCCTGGAGTGTGACCTGGACACTACCCTGATGGACACGTTCTACGGCGTACTGTGACCGAGCACGGTGCTCCAGCTCATCGGCTCACTACCATGTCAACCATGCTTATTGTATATTTTGTTAAAGCGAAGCTGACAACACCCCACGAACTTCAAGTGTCATTGACATTCAAACGACTGTTAATAAAGTTTCCAGTGAATATGGTTTATAAAACAAATCTTCCATCGTTAAAGAGTGATGGTACTTAATGTGAGTAAGTAGTTAAGTACTCGTACACAACTATCAGTTAACCATAAATATACGATTCTCGCTATAAAGTCACAATACGTACAATACAACAGCATTACCAAGGAAATCGCTTTACATAATATATACCTTATTAATTGTAAATGACTCAATTAGTCATGTTATGATGTAAAATAAAATGACAAATGTTTTAATGAAGCGAGGTTTACGACACCGTTGCTAAAGGCTCTCGTTGCTTGAGTCTTGCTTCAATCGCTGGAGCCCAGAAGAATTCCGATTGGCTTATTTAAACACCATGCACTCAGTGTGCAAGTGAAACAGAACTTACAAATGCTAATTAGTTCAGATCCGAGTCACGCTTTATTTTGTTTTAAAGTTCACCAAAATTTTTTGATAAGTATAATTATTAGATACTTACAGTTAGTATTATAAAATTAATATTTTTAATAGAAACCATAACATTTTGGAGTAACATGGCAGGGTAAAACATAAGTATACCTTTTGTTTCCCCACATTAAAATTCTGGTATAGAAAAACATTAAAATTAAGAGATTCCTAAACTAATTGCTCACTACAACAGCAACGGTGTCGATGAAAAACTTCGTGAATTAAAAGCTCTAAGTATTCATTAGATATGATTAGTTAATTTATAGTAAGTTAATTAATAAGAGAGCAAGGAATATCCAAGATATTATCTTTTAATATTATTATTGCGTAAATATCAGTAAGTAGAAGTATGTTAGTCTTAATGTACGGACGCATGTTTCAATGGTACGATCTCAGTGTCGAAGTTGTACAAATGTAAGAAATAATATTTAAAAAGTAGGTTTCTACTAACGATAAGACCCGTGCCTTTTATTGAAATGGAACGATAGATCAAAAATAATATCTACAAATCTACAATAAACCACATAGTAAATACTTAAATATTAAATTATGGTTATTAAATAACTCTGACTGTGAGAAAGACGTGTCTATGCAATGTCTTGCAGTAGCTTTATGGCTGACAACAGAAATTGAATACTGACTTGTAATTGCGACTCTCATAAAGACTACATTCATAAGCTTTATAACTGAATATATTATATTAAGTAACGTCGTACTCTATGACCTAAGATCGTATTATTGGAACATTCAAATTTTACACTTTCTAGTCTCGATTTATTAAAGTTTGTTTTTTTTTCACATTATCATATCATCAACGGATAGCTAAACAATTGTCTGGCAAAATGAAGCAACAAGTTTGTTTCATCATACATATTTTATAATTGATAATAATATGTATTTATTTTATATTTTCTAATATATTAACAGTTAAAATATTATAGAAAATTAATAACGTAGCGCCTAATATAATGTTAACTTGTATCTTACGAAGTGCTTTAGGCAGTTTAGTAAGGAATATATTGAATCAGCCTTATTGCCTCCGTCCAGGTGTTTGTACGCTCGCTACGGCGACAACCGGCCACACATTTTATACCTAAATCTTATAATATTTACTATAACGCATTTGCCATCTTGAATAGTCACTAGTATTTTGGGCTACTCTAAGTTATGCTTACCTATCCTGCAGTTTAAATAACATTAGGAGAGTTCTTATTATACGTTGCTTTTTTATGACTTTTTCTTCGATTTGTATCGGTTATAAAGACTTAGTACCTTTGTACATATTTGTAATCGTCCATTAGCTTTCAATAATATCTGTGTTCCAAAATGAAATTGAATCATTCTAATGTTATTTTTGATGCAGTGTTTTCAGAAAGTAGGATTTAATTAATATTTAGCCTTATATTTACAAAAATGTAGTTTCATTTTCATAGCGTTTCTTGCCTCTATTTATAAATCAGTGTAACCAAGCCTGTTAACTTGAAGTAACTACGATAGCATACTTGTATTTGATGATGCTCCACATCGTATATGTATAAGTATATGTACCTATATATTTACAAATATATTATATAGGCTTCTTACTTTATTTACTACACTTAGAAGTACAGGAAACTACAAAAATAAGTAATGAATATTTTTATTGGTTGAGTTAACACTGTACAGTTATGAACTCGGCTGCTATCAACAATTTACTTAAAAGGTAAAAAGACTTTCATAAGTAATGTTTTGGTAGTTATCTGTACTTCCCCAGTGCAATAAAGATATTTAAAAGATTTTATCATAACCCACACTTCACATCCTTCATGTACCATATAAGATCTCCATAAGTAATAAAATCGGAGCTAACATGTGACACCCACGCACTGTAATCTTGCCACTGTTTCTTGCATTTAATTTTACGTGTATAAACTTGTGCGAACTTTTGTAACTTTGTGAAAATGGATCCAAAAGGTATTTTGTGCTATAATTTTAAATCTAAAAAACCTGATTGTCGTATAAGAATAACCTCTAGTCCGGAATGTAGTTTTTTCAAGAGGAATTTAATGAACTAGAGACGAATGACTTTATCGTAATGCCTTTTGAAACATTACACAATTAAATGAGGCCTTAATATTATAGTGACTTGCTGTACGAGTAGTCGATAACTGTATCATAAGCAAGACGAGACAACAACTAAACGTAGATGTTAAGGCAGATGTAGTTGTGACGAAAGTTCGTCTGTGCTGACTTTCTTAAACCGAATAATTGCCATAAACATGTCGGTAGATGCCATATTTTTAATTAAAACTTAATTTTAGTTTTATAAAAATCTGTAGTTATAAGCTCGTTTTTCTGTATAAAAATCGTACCTCACTATGTTCTGTTCTTGCTTATTCTTTATAAGTAAGTATTTACTATGGTTTCAATTGCTGCTTATTATTATGCGATTTTGTTTGTATCTTTTTTCACGTGTAATGTTTATTTTTAAGTGCATAGTTAAGTACGTTGACTAAGTCACAAGATAATTTATTACCAATGACGTGTTTTTAAATTCTTTTTATATACCTATTTTTTATAGTTGAGTGTAAAAAGTTGAGATATATTATATTGAGAAAATAGATATGGATTTAATGTGTTTAAATATAGTTTGTAGATTTTGCCAGAAGTGTGATTTACTAACATTTTGTTATTTGCCACTTATATTGTCATAATTAATTTGTTCACTGTACCATTTGCAGTTTTATAGAGAAAACATTGCAGTGTTTGTCACCTTATTTGTGTGAAAATATTGAACTCGAAGTATTTTTAACAAAATATCCCATTTCTTTTTCGTATATCTTCTTATCAAATCACAAATAGTACTTTTTAGGAGACAATATAACATAGGTGAATACTTTTTTATATTACTAGATATTTATAATTGATGTGGTTTTTTTTTGCAATTAAGAAGTAAAAATAAGAACACAAGACGTGATAAAGACTGCAACTATTGCTCTACACACAACACAATACAATAAAATACCTTGAAAATCGAAAATGCCTTCGAGCTATGGATTGAATCATAATGTAATATTTTAATTAGTATATTGTACCATTGATGTGTCTTATACAGCTTTAACATTGTACAAAGTATTATTATATTGTGTAAAAAAATGCCTTCGTATAAAGAGTTCATTAATAATATTCGCGTATACACAGCGTTGGTGGTCTATAGTCGACACGTAAGCGCCGCGTAGCCGCTGCGTAAGCAATATTAAACGTAGCATAGCCACTGCGTAGTAGATACGTAACGTGTGTGTAGCCGCTACGCAGTAGATACGTAGCGCCGTGTAGCCGCTGCATAGTTAATACGTAGCGCCACGTAGCTGCTGCGTCGTAGATACGTAGCGTTACGTAGCCACTGCGTAGTCATTACGTAGACGCCGCGTAGCCCAGCGTAGTCGATACGTTGATATCGTTTAGCACTGCGTAGCTGGTACGTAGGCGAAGCGTAGCCCTGCGTAGTCGATTCGTACGCGCAGAACAAATCCACCGCGTAGTCGATGTCGTATAAGTACGTAAACTCTGTGTGTACGCATTAATCTTAAATAAATAAGCTGTAGTTTGTCTAATACCAATAAAATCATAATTGTTTGTTTATCAATTATCACACACTTAATACGAAGGCACACTGGTTACTATATGAACTATCTTGTATGAGGATTAATCTTTAAAACAATCCATAATATATAACATTTAAATTATTTTCAACGTTGTCACCCTACTTGAAGCCATACTATTTTAAGCAACACACATCTATTTCGCACTGATATCAATGGTACAAGAAAGATCGTAGTCATACGTATAACATGCTTATCATTCACTTTATATGTGTACCAAGCATTGTGCCACCAGACAGTAACTTATGTTACAATAAACTTCACATTTCGGAACAAATTAAATTTAGTCACATTTACTGTTGTTTCTTATTACTCTTCCTGACCATTCCTTTACAGATTTCTATGGTTCCACTTAACACTATTATTACGGTTTACAAAGAGATATTGCGACTGGAGTTGAAATATATAGAAGAAATTTCTGAGACAAAAAGAAAAGAAAGAAGAAAATGAAATATATAGTTGAAATACAAGATTTATATAATATTGAAAAAAAACGACCGAGATTAATAACCTGTCTCAATCAAAAATCTGTGGATTACAATCTACGGTCAAATTTTTACAAAAGCTCCATACAAGTAATATCAAAAATCCATTATAATCCACAGAATTTGCTTACATACAAAGCTAGGTTATTAATTCAAGCATTTACACACCAAAGAAATAAGTGCAATTGAGCAATCTACTTAAGCAATGCAACACACACTTCACAGGTTTTTCTTTTAGCGATGTCTAACCTGTCCGTGTAGACTTTCTTGAGTTTGTATAATGTTATCATGGTCTTGAACTACTTCTTTTTAGTCCATTCAGGGCCTGTATACTAGGATAGGATGATTGAAAAACTGAAACGCCACTGAGTCACGCCACGCCACACGCCACGTGGCGTGACTTTTCAGCCATGTTATTAATAACTTTTAAGCTATGTAAGTACTAATCTAAAAGATGACCACTGATACTTACATCACGTCTGTTGTTGTATCACATCCGTATGTTAGCTAAGGAGAGGCGGAGCGCATGAGGCAGCGAAGCGCTGTCTCCTCACAGCCCAGCCGTCGCGAAGGACACTCCGGGCGTCGGGGATCGCGGGGTGATCTCCGGCCACCGTAAGCATGGGCCTGCGGACGGCGAGCATGGGTAGCTCACCGCCCGACCAGAACCAGACCCGAGCGTGCGGCGTGTAGCGTTCAGCGTGCGCCCAAAGAGCCATCAGACCACCACAGATGGGGCCCAATAGTGCTGATACCGATATGGGGCTCCGGCTCGAAGTGTAGGAGTAAGAACGGGGTGGTGTTTTTGTCAGTAAGAGTCTGACCCTCCCTCCGGCCTCACCCAGGCGGGAGAAGTCATTTGATGATTTTCTCCCCTTAAAAACCCTCATTATACAATTGTACATTATGTCATTAGGCTCACTTCCTATTGGATTTAACTCGTAATATTATAGGGTAGTGGCAATGGTAACCAAATTGTAAATCTAATCTACCAGATGGACTTTGAAATAAAATTTAGGAAACTACCCTATTGGCTAAAAAGCTAATTTAAATGTTATTTCTTACTAAAGGATAAAAGGTGGTATGTATTGAAACCAGATCAGGCATTCATTTTATAGGTACCTACATCGTGCATAACATTTTACACTGAATCAGGGTACACCATATTTGGTGGTATCAAATTATAAATAGCGGTAACTCAATCACTCATTCTTTTTACCATTTTGGTGTGAAAGCTGGTCCAGCATTCAAAGTATGATTTTAAAAATAATGTGACTCAAACATTTTCTTAAGAAAAATGCATCATACATATAGTCGACATCTGTTCTATTTAGTGTTCTTATTACATAGGGTAGATGCCTCATTTTTATTATATGTCCGTCTGATAGATTATTTTAAATCATTAGACGTGTATTTTTTATATTCTTACAGAAACGAATACTTTCAACGATATATTGATTTGAAATGTCCCGTGACGTCACTTCTATGTACATTTTATATGTAGAAATGACGTTTTAGCCCTCACCTAACCCAAACTTTGATTCGTATTATCTAAGTATTGTTTTATTGTACGACAAAATAAAAAAATACGTGTCTAATATTTTTTAACTACCTAACTTCCGGACTAATTAGATTTTTGATTTTCATACCCTGTTATCATCCAAATTCTGTCGAGTTTTTTATGGGACAAGCCCGCCACAGCCTCCCGAAACTCGGAATCGAATTCGTTTCCAGCTCTAGTAGAACATTAATAAGTTTTTGGTTTCTCGATAATTCTGAGTAATAGGGGGTCTGGAATTGTACCCAAGTATGTGATAAATGATAATAGACTCACTCTCTGTTGACTTCACAGGAATCAAAATGTAACTGGTGAAGAGTAGTTGTTTAATTCCTAGGTGGACCTCTGTCTTCTTCTGGGATTACAAATATAGGTTCAATCATACAATCTTTTAATCACTCAGTTAACATTAATAAAACATAGGTACTTAGGTACTTCTAATAAGTAGATATTGAATGTGTGCAAAATAATTCAAAAATATATTAGCTAGTATATTTACAACTTAAAATTAACTACAACTAAACTATTAAATAAAAAGAAAGTAAAAGAAAACAACAAAAAATGTTTTCCTAAATTCATCGAGGACAAGATACAAAATTTCAATCACATTTCGGATAGATTACACAAAATCAACACACATTCGGCTTTCACCCTAATTCGGTACTGTTGTTTTGGACTAAAATTTACTTATATTCTCCGCGCTTCACATCTATGGAAACATTCACACATTTTAGAAAACGTAGACAAAATTATCAGACACACATTGTCATCCATACTTAATGTGGCTTTGGATGACCGAGCTTGGCAACAAGCTACTCTTCCTATTCGCATGGGAGGGCTCGGCGTCCGCAAAATTTCAAGTATTAGTTTACCAGCTTTTCTGTCTTCGGTCCACAGTACCTCTGAATTGGTCAGGAAAATTCTTTCTTCGTCACTGACCAGTTTTGAGGTGCCGTGTTTGACTGATGCAGTGGAAGCGTGGAAAATGGCTTGCCCACTTACGGATTTACCTGTTCATCCATCTTCTCAGAGACAGTGGGACGTGCCGCTGTGCAGTGTTATTCGTGAGTCTTTAATCAACTCGTCTCCTAATACTGCAGAGCGAGCTCGCTTATTGGCTGTGGGAGAATGGGAATCAGGATTGTGGCTTCAGGCACTCCCGTCACCCTTCATAGGTACTATGTTGGATGACATAACGTTCCGCCTAGCTGTATGCCTACGTTTAGGTGCTCCTTGTGTTTCTCCGCATTATTGTCACTGTGGAGAAAGAGTCGATGGCTTGGGACACCATGGTCTTTCTTGTTGCAGAAGTGCAGGCCGCATAGCTCGCCATGCCAGCATCAACGACATCATTCGTCGTGCTCTTGCCTCAGCCGGTGTACCAGCCGTATTAGAACCTAATGGTTTGGTACGTGATGACGGCAAAAGACCAGATGGTATGTCGTTGCTGCCTTGGAAGATGGGTAGGCCTTTGGTGTGGGACGCGACTTGTGTAGACACCCTTGCGCCATCACATCTTTTAAGCACCGCTGCATGCGTTGGTGCGGCTGCTTCCGCGGCAGAGGCCCTCAAACGGCGTAAATATTCAAATCTAGTGGGTAACTACTGTTTTGAGCCGTTTGGGGTCGAAACACTTGGGCCATGGGGTCCCAGTGCACACTCTGTGTTTAAAGACATCGCCCGTAGGCTAATCGACTCTACACGTGACCAGAGGGCTGGCTTTTTCTTCGGACAGAAAATAAGCATTGCCATTCAACGTGGCAATGCTGCCAGTCTTCTGGGAACTTTCCCCTGTGATAGTGATGCGGACGAATACTTTGACGCCTAAATTAAGGATATAATTTTTTGTTGTTTTCTTTAGCTAGTATATTATATTTTATTAATACTAACTTTAAGTCAAAATCTATATAGTCACCGCTACAGACTTATGTATTTTTTATTTCAAAGACTTACTTGATACTATCCTAGTCCAATCACAACCCTGCCATGTTATCTCTAATTAGTAGGTATATTCGTTGATACCAATTAATTATCAGTAGTCATTAGTTGATGTTTTTTTTTAAATAACCAACTAGAATCTTTTTATAAATACAAACCTTCCAACAATTGTTACAAAAGAAATTATATATATACTTATATTGTGATTAATATATTTTTTTTAATATTATAGGTACTTCTATTATTTTTCCATGCCTATTAAGGACCAATCGTTCCATCATAGAAATAATAATAAACTAAGTTATTTCGCAAACATTTATACATACTTACATACGTAGTGTAGTGGTGTCCAAAGCAGAAGTACTTACCACAATAATATAGGTAGTACAGACAAAATAAAGGTTGATTTTCACAGAAACAGTAAAAAATATTTTGTTGACTGTATGGCAAACTATTTCGGCAGTTCCAGAACTTGCAATTACGATGTCCCATTGTTCCCTCTGAAGAAACCGTTGACTGAAGTAAATACCTACCTAGATTACAAATAGGTCGCGGAGCACATCAGTAACCTGCTTACAGTCAGGGGCCTAGTAAACTCTTACCTAAATCGTTCTAATTCTTCCACTTACACCGTCATTTTAACACGTAGGTTGTCAGCGGGTGCTAAATGGAAAACGGTAACATCCCTAACACTTTGCACAAACAGACAACCGTTATCGCCCACTTTATTTATACATGATTGACATGTCTACTCACATTTCGTGACCATTTCTATTGGGATTAGGACTAGTGAAACGGATACTCACATTTTAGTGGTTACAAATGACAGAGGAGTAGGTTTTGTCGGTTAGTTGTTGTGTCACGTTGAAAAGAGAAGCATCTAGTTATACAATGTTATCAAGAAAGTGGTGGTTAGTTTTGTCAGCGTTAGTGGTAGCTGCTGCGGCCACGAACATCCATAGGTTTGACCAGGACGATATCGATGGAGAAGACGACGAGGGCTTCGATGAGTACGATGAATTTGAGAATAACAACGTCACTAGTGTCGGCGGAAGAAAGGGAAAAATATGTAAGTTTGTTGCCATGGTCTTCCACCTATTATATCGCCATATCCAGGCCTGAATATTTTTTAAGCGAGAACCAAGTGTTTTATGTTATTGTCCTAACCTCCCGAGCTAAGCGAATTTATATTTCGATAGAGCCCTAGCAAAATTTTAGTATCTCTCTTTCTCTTTCCACTCAACGTTTCCGTAATTGCAGTTGCAAATTAAGAAATAGCTACGCGAAGCGATTCCCTCATATATTTTTTGGATATACATATAGAAAAGATGTTATGTACGCCGTCCGTGACCTGGCTTTTGCTCAACCAATAAGCTAAGTTTTATTCCTAACCGTGGGCACATGTAACAGACCACGTCAAAACCAAATCGGTACTCTTGGCTTAAGTTGGCTTTCTTGGACTCGTTGGCCTAGTGACTGCCTCGTTGGCCGAGTGGTCGCAAGTGCGACTGCCGGGCAAGGGGTGTCGGGTTAAATTCCCGGGTCGGGCAAAGTATTACTATTAGTATTAAGTTTTAATTCTCACTACTAACACGGAGTCTGGAGTTGAGCCCGGTATATGCCAATAGACTTATTACATGGGACTCATAATATAAATAGTGAAAAGTGGGTGACACATTGTACAGTGGCATTAAGTGCCTTAATGTGCACTTCTGCTTACCCCTTCGGAGATAAAAGGCGTGATGATATATTATGTTATTTGTATTTTTTTATTACTTTTAAAATTGTAAGTTTGCACTAAAGCTGTAAACCATAGGTTTACCAAATTCTAATTCGTAGTAAGAAAAAGTGATGCTATATTAATATTATGACCATACCTCTAGACATAAAAGTTGAACATGTACATATATAACTTATGAAAATTGCTTCTAAGTATTGTTTTCCTTTTAAATGTTTACAGTGTTTCCTTTCGTGAGTATTGTGCGGTTCGCGAACACGGAGTGCTCGACTGCCAACTCTATGAACGGCACGTGCCTCGCGCGGCGGGAATGTAACAACCTTAACGGTACCATCACGGGCACCTGCGCCACGAGGAGAGGACGGTGCTGCGTCGGTAAGTAAAAGTGAAACAAGCTCTCTCATATCTATAGCCTCTAGACTGTAGGTACTATCTAATATAGATACTTATTTATGGGTTGAGATCCCACATACATTTACCGAGTCATCTTTATCCGTATTCAAAATTTATTGAATTTTAACCGTCTCAATCTAGAGGAAATGTCTAATTAATTCAAATATTGAAGAAAATGATGCGTTAAAATCCTGCACATCTGTGGTCTCGGAAGATTAATAATATAATCGTACCTAATTTGTATTCTAGTGTCCCGTACTTGTGGAACTACGACAAATGTGAACAACACTTATTTCACGAGCCCCGGCTATCCGGCCGCGTATGCCGGTGGTCCGGCCTGTTCCATGATCGTAAACCGTTGCAACGCCAACATCTGTCAGGTAACCTACAAATCTTAATCTTACGTCATCAGGTTCATCAACTTTTATCTAAATTCGTTTATATCAGGGGTGTCCAAGTAAAGGCCCGCCGTCCGCATGCGGCCCGCAGCTATGTAGTTTTCTCGTCGCCCGCGACACACGTTTTAATCTTAACATCTTCATTTTATGTAGCAATAATAAAATTCAGTGTATAATTTGTGTGCAAGTTTAGTCTGTGCAAGCAAAATTGTAATTTTATTATAATACTAGCTGTTGCCCGCGACTTCGTCCGCGTAGATTAATGCCTTCTGACAGAATTCATCATAATCAATTCAGTGCCCAATTAAGATTTACATTTATTTTCAATAAATTAAAAATCCCGCAGGGTTCTTACCAGTCCCGGCCCGATCACGTAAGTTTTGAGTAATAAAAACTTCGACTGTTGTACAGAATCTCTATGAAATAAGTTCAGTGGTTAAAAGATAGAGAGTCCTGGAGCATTGACGCATAGTTCCCGTTCCCGAGGGACTTCTGAGATAAAAACTATCATACGTTACTCAGGTCCCAAATCATCGTTTTACCGTATGTAATTCAAAAAGATTCAATGATTCTAGATTCAATTTTCATTCCCATTTTCACACCAACTATCATTCCCTATTTTATCCCCTTAGGGGTGGAATTCATCAAAATCCTTTCTAAGGAGATACCTATGTCATAGTAACTTTATGCATGCAAAGTCTCAGCCCGATCGGTTTAAAACTGGCAAAGTATCACACAAACTTTCACCCTCTATATTACCCACTTTGGGGTGGAAATGTTCAAAAACCTTTCTAAAGGGACGTGTACGTCATAATATCTACCTGCACGCCGAATTTCAACCCGATCTGTGTAAAACTGACAAAGCCTCATACAAACTTTCATCCCCTACATTATCCCATTGGAGTTGGAAATGATCAAAATCCTTACTTGGAGATGCCTACGTCATAACATCTACTTTCATGCCGAATTTCATCCCTATCGGTGTAAAACTGACAAAGTTTCATACAAACTTTCACCCCTATTTTACCCCCTTGGGGAGTGGAAATGATCAAAATCCTTTCTTAGAGGATGTTTACGTCAAAATATCTATCGGCACGCCGAATTTCAACCAGATCGTTTTATAATTGACAAAGTTCCATACGAACTTTCACCCCCTATTTTACCCTCTTAGGAGTGAAAATGATCAAAATTCTTTCTTAGAAGATGCTTACGTTATAACATCTATCTGCATGCCAAATTTCAACCTGATCGGTTTAAAACTGACAAAGTCTCATACAAACTTTCATCCCCTATTTTACCCCCTTGGGGGTGGAAATTATCAAAATCCTTTCACAGCGGATGCTTACGTCATAACATCTATCTGCATGCCAAATTACAACCCGATCGGTTTAAAACTGACAAAGTCTCATACAAACTTTCATCCCCTATTTTACCCCCTTGGGGGTGGAAATTATCAAAATCCTTTCACAGCGGATGCTTACGTCATAACATCTATCTGCATGCCAAATTTCAACCCGATCAGTTAAAAACTGACAAAGTTTCATACAAACTTTCATCCTCTTTTTTCTCGTATAAAGTAAAGGATAAAAAATGGTTATTGTGGGTTATTCCTAAGAGATAAACATATACCATCACGGACTTTTTTGTAGACCTTTTTAAGTTGTACAATACTGTAGTACATTGTTTTGATCTATCTTGTAGGATTCAGTCAGCGTTTGCAATGTAAGCGCAAAAAATGTGTTTTTTTACGACCTCACATTAGAAACCTCAAAAAATTGTAGCCTATGTGTTATTCTGATGTAAAAGCTAGAGCCTATGTGTTATTCTGATGTATAAGCTATATTGTGGTAAAGTTTCATTCAAATCCATTCAGTAGTTTTTACGTGAAAGAGTAACAAACATCCATACATCCATACTTACAAACTTTCGCCTTTATAATAGTAGTAGGATTTTATATAGTTAACTCCAACAAAATTGTAATTTTAAACGTCATTATAAACAACTGAAAATATTTTTCTGGCCCTTCAGCTTTTATAAGAAATTTAATTAGCCCGCGAGGGTATATCGTTTGGACAACCCTGGTTTATATAATAAGTAAACATTATGGTATGGCTACAAATAATTTATTTACAAACAAATGTCTGCTCCGACCACGACCGTTGCAATCTTCCCATATTTCCAATGACTATCCTTTTTGTTGCAATTTATGGATTACACAATGTGTTTATCAGATAATACCTAGGTACCAAGTAAACAATACACAACTACTTACCAAAATCGTAGCTGTGTATTAGGTGTCTAGGTACACGTCAAAGCTCGCCGAAACCTAGTCGATATCATGTCTACTTTATGTAAACACTAAAATTGACCAAAACTAGAAAAAATTATAATTATTACTATTGATCTTATGGTAGCGGTGCTTTATCAAATTCACTCATACGAATTACTGCAACGGACTAATTTCTATGCATACGTTTCATGTTCTACTTACTATATACTCTTTGTACATAGACAAATAAGCTCGAGGTTCTAACTAATTGAACGGTAAAATTTATATTCAGCTCCGTATAGATTTCCTGGATCTGGTGCTAGCACAGCCTGATGGTGACGGGAACTGCGTGACAGACTCCATATCAGTGACAGGAGGGAACACCATTGTGCCACTGCTATGTGGTGACCTCACCGGCCAGACTATCTTCGTGGACTTCAACGGGAACACGGCCATCACCATCGTGGTCACTGCGACACTCGCGACCACCTTCGCTAGGAGGTGGAACATTAGGCTGGTTCAGCTTGGATGCGACTGTCCTGGAATAGGTAACTAATTCAATATTTTACAGGCTACGAGTAACCGTAGCCCGTAAACATTTTTGTCTTGACAACGTTTTCCACAAGTTGTAAATATATGATAATAAATCAAGAAGGAGGTATGAACGTCACTTAGTCATTGTACCGTCAGACAAAGTTAAGTTTAACAAGATAAAAAGGATTAATATATAAATTTTATATAATAACAACATAAAACAACAATACCTAAATACATAGGATTATAAATTACATTTACATACAAGCAATCACGACATAACCTTTCATTGCAGCGCCAAACGGTTGTCTCCAATACTACACTGGAATAACGGGAACTATAAACAGCTTTAACTATGGGACCGCAGCGAACACAGTGCTCAGCGCCTCCCTGGTGACAGGCACGCGGCAAATTGTCAACTTGAACTATGGCATATGTATCAGAATGGAGGCCGGCTACTGTGCCATACAATATTCACAGGTCAGTTGATATTAGCTACATCGTTGTTAGTATACGACAACACTACTATATATGTTACCTCTCCCATATAAATAGCTAAATGTTGGCGGGATTCAACTGCCACAAGTTTCATAACTTCTAATCACTCAGGCACTGCACGAACCACGCAGTCACTTTACAAAGGGTCCTTGAAATCGATGTCCAACCGCTAACCAATGATCGGCATTTTTTTCCAAGAAAATTTTACTACAGTTCTTCAGTGAAAATGCCTCAGTGAATAGAATAATGCAACGACCAACCAAACCAAATAAAGGACTAAACATGTATGTCTAAGTGAAGGTATTTCGTACAGGTTGCAGGAGATGCATTCTCATTTACATTGACGGGAGACGTGGAAGGCGCTGATAACACGGTACTGGGCACCCAGCTGGGCGCAGTGAACGGCGCCAACTGTCTCACCGACTTCGTGGTCATACCCAACCCCACAGTAGTCGCCACCGCCTTAGCTGCAGGCACAGACCGCTTTTGCGGACTAGGCTTCGTTCCAGTGCAGAGTAAGCATTTCTCTTATACTATTTGATTAATATTATTCCTTAGAGCCCACAGCAAGGTCCTTAACTTCTATCTACCTATACAGTTCTAGAATCTAAAAAAGTTATACTCATTGGCCCCTCTGGTGTACCTTCCGAAGCCCACATTCTTGATCTTATCGCTACTTCTGTACCTAAAAACTTCATCATACTATCTACTGAAATGTAACTCATCATATAAAATATATTATTCGGCAGGAACTTATCACCAGTACGGAGTACCATAATTATATTATGAAATAAAAAATAGATTAAAATAATAATAATGTCTATAATATTTGTTCTACAGGTGGAGCTAAACCATTTGTACTGTACGTGGTAACTAACGCTAACGAGGGCGCGACGGCCGCCACGCCGCCCGATATCGCCAACAGAGGATTCTCGCTAACTTACACTCAGATAGCCTGCTGATCTATCTACTTCATGTACCTATTGTATCTCTACCTATAATATTATCATAGAATGTTTAAAAAAGCAGAGATGCACCCCAATGTACAATGACATAACAGTACATAACAGTACAGAAGCACCACAAAATCCATATAACGTATACATTAATCACCGCAATGCGTGTTCTCTCGAATGGCTGTAGTGTTATTAGGACAAAGTTCTAAGACAGATAACTGACGCATTTATCGAGAACACTGGGAAGAAACTCCCATGCGAAGCGGAGGTGGCATCATAATAGAAAACTATATTAAAAGCAGATCATTTTACAAAATACTTAAAAGCTTGTATACGCTACTCAGGTTTCTAACAAAGTAACTTGCCCTGCGCTATTGTATACAAGACAAAGGCAGACTACTTACAAGGGTAGAATCTTAAAAGCATACAGAAGGCTATTGTCTAATGACGTAGAAAGCCATTCGAAGTACTATGCAATACTATAACAAGATATGTATAGTGTATATCCTATATGTATACGGTGTACGTATATGGTTAATGCGTCAATGTGTAGCAACTGCAACTGCAACTGGTTAGGGTTTCTTATAAAAGGGTTATTTGAAAGGATGACTTTAATGCAAGTCAAACGTTATCGTTTTCTTTTCGAATTGTCATAAAAGTATAAATATTAATGTTTAAGTTTAGCAATAATATAAAAAAATATTTACGTAAGAAAAAGGTGATTTCATTTCTCTCACTATTTCCAACTCCAAAATGGGCCTATACTGTATTGTCATCTTCCGCATGGAATTGTAATTCACAGCTCCTCCCCTGTAAGTGGTAGCGTGATATGTAGCCTACATGTTGACCCGATCTGTTTGTAATATTCAAGCAAAATTTGAAGTTAATCTGTGAAGTACTTTTTGAAATTTATATTTGGAATAAATATCACGCACCGAAAAAATATTCAATCTACATTTTGACTTTCCAACGATTTTATTATAGGTATGTAGAGACTACAGATATTTATTAATTTATTCAGAAATTAACATATATATAGGCCGAAACTGATATCCGATCAATCCAAAAAGATCGATCTCTATATTGGACAGAAATTCAAAATGTAAATAAATTCATAATGTCAAAATTGTAGCTTGCATAGTGCAGATAGCTAAAGCGCGGCAGGTTATTGGACCATCCATGGTGGTATTCGACGTCACAAATACTTGTACAGAGCACCTAGTGCCTCTATGGTGGTATGATGTAGTAAGGACAGTGTAAGGGCATTTCCCTCATTTGTACCGCTACATTATCGTTATGAAGGACGATTACAAAAAAGGATGAAGTAAAAAATAAAAACCATAAGAAATAAATAGTCATGTATTTAATAACAACTTTAACTAAACAATAAAATCACATGTTAACATATTTAACTACTCTCTTCTAATAGGTATTTAGAAACAGGCACAAAAATAGATAGCCTGCACCCGCGAAATGGTGCTGACAGATAATTAGGCTCCTCCGTGTTTATGACTTTTCCATAAAACATAACAACATATCATAATAATATGTACATTTACTGTCTCGCTAGTATTTATTTACAGTGTAAATAGCGTTATTTACGTTTTATTAAATAAGAAATACTCTCAGAAGGCACAGTATCTTATTGAACAATTAATTATGAATCCAAAATTAATATTAAACAGGATATGTTGTTATATTCAAAATAAGAAAGAAATGGAGGACTTGCAATATATAAAAATGTTGCCATTAAAATGAAGGAATTGTGCTCAATTATTTTTTTTTTTTTTGTAAAAAGACCTCATTACAACATTGGATTAGTTTCATATTATATCTCATAAAGCATGTATGTATGTAGTAGACAGGGAGGGAGACACCTTGTAAATTGGCATAATAAACATTTTGACCCACAATTTACATTTTTCATCTTTTTAGGCCAATTTTAAAAACTACCATAATTTATTAAGATTTCACACACGTTACGAGTCTTGAAGTTAGATTTGTTCATTTGCTCAATTGTCACTCAAACAATATTAAGATCGAAGCTAAGAGTAAAATGCAATTTAAGTGGCCTTGTACTTAGGTGCCTGCTCTCTCTTTGTAAAAACTATGAAACCAACCGCAATTATTTATTAAATGACGTACACCTTATCGTGTATTATAACTATTGATGTCAAAATATAATGCAATACGTATTAATGATGTCGTCTAGTCGTCACAACTGTCTACAAGGTACAAGGTACACATACTAGCTATAGTAACGAGTGATTTATACCAAAATGCCTGATTCATTCTCTTATACCTTCTTACACATTACAAGAAGCGTTTAGGAACGTGGGGTTCACCCAAATCTCACCAGACCTCGTGTGATGAGGCACTAAGCACTATGTATGAATAAAACATTTTTGGCAATAATTATTATTAACTAACTGTTGCTCGCGACTTCGTCCGCGTAAAATATGATTCCTGTTTTATCCCATAGAAGCATTTAATCGGGATAAAAAGTATCCTATCACCTAAGTCAGCCCATACCCTGCTCGTATACCAAATTATCACGGGAATTAATATTAATTTAGAATGTCTCGACAATAGTTATAATCTTATACTATTATATAAAGCGGAAGAGTTTGTTTTTTGTTTGTTTGTTTGTTTGAACACGCTAATCTCCGTAACTACAAGTCTGATTTGAATAATTCTTTTTGTGTAGGATAGCGCATTTATCGAGGATGGCTATATGCTATAAAACATCATGCTACGACCAATAGGAGCTAATCAGAGCATGTGAAACCGCGCGGAAGTAGCTAGTATACAATATTTTTGTTGAAGATGGCTTTATTTTTATTACGTTGTGTAACGGAGATCCCATATTTGTCAACCGAATTAAAAAAAAATGGAGGAGGTTCTCAATTCGACTGTATTTTTTGACGTTTATTTCTGGATGGTGGTGGTGAATGTTTGATTCTACGTTGTCCGTTGTATCATATTCTTCAGACTCAGTCACCACATACCCAGCGAGTAGGTACGTCATATTGAAAGCAAAAGTGGGCAGCAGACCAAACATTGTTGTCCAACATTGAACCAAATATTCAGCAAATATTCAGTAGACGTTGTATACGTTACACAGATCATCAACGTAACGTTACCTCCGAAAAATTGAAGATCAAAACGTAGTTCGAGACACGGTGCAAAAATGATACCAGTTACGACAAAATTCTCTCATCAAATTTATATTTCTCATAAATATTTAAGTACATATACTACTAGACCAGTAAAAAAACTGTATACTACCCATCTCTTTGAATTTGTTTTTAGTTTTTTTTTTGAGGATATTACGTTGATATAATATTTATATTTTGTCGTATAAGTTATTTATTTTCCGTATGAAAACAATCATTATTATTTCCATAAAACCAATTTATAAAATACTAGCAGCCCGTCCCGGCTTCGAAATTTGGATTGTTGTAGTGACATAACTACAATAGTTGGACATATGCTACCGCGGAGTTTTTTGTAGACATTATGATGTTCTTCAATATTGTTGTACATTATTTTGTTCTAACGCTAATAGTTTCGGCAGCGCATTCGACGAAAGACATTTTAAGACTCAAATTTTACCAAGGATCCCTATTTTTTTTTTCAAAATGAATGTAACCTATGTTAAATTGGAAGAATGTAGCATTCTATTGGTGAAAGAATTTTTTAAGTCGGCCCAGTACTTTTTGAGCCTATTCATTTCAAACATACTAAAATAGGTACAAATCTTTCCTCTTTATAATATTAGTATAGATATAGATAATTGCATCCTTTCTATTAAAATGTAATTAAATCGGTTCAATTATTTCCAAATAGCTGTCGAAAATCAAAACGAACACGTTAAAGCCCCGTTAAAGTCTCTTTATCTCTTTAACTTATTTTAGAGAGATTCGGTACAGCATTAGTCGATATATTTTTTATCACTAAAACCTTACGGGAACGGGCACTGTATTGGTAAAATCGTTCATTTTACAATAAATCTAACTTAGGCACTGAATCGATTCTAATGACATTTGTTACAGCCATAGAATATACCTTGGAAAAGACTGATTCAAAGAACCCGTAAGATTCGCACGAAGTTGCGGATGCGAAGAAAACGCGGACGAAGTTGCGGGCAACAACTAGTCTACAAAATAAACTAAATAATTCACGACCTTCAGACGATATTTTTATGATAAGCGACTATCTAGGCCAGTGGTTCCCAACCGGCAGGCCGTGGACCACCACTTAAGTATGTAAAGGGAAGGAGCCACTAAGTGGTGCCACCTATTTCAATAATCCAAGAAACACAATTTTTATGAGAATGAACCCCATAACTCTGAGGAAAATCCTAGTGTAGGACCACATGAAAAAAGTAATAGCAATAGTGGTCTCTAAGTTAACAAGAATGAAGTCAAAGTGGTTCTTGACCGAGAAAATATTGGGACCCCTGATTTAGACAAATAAAATCTCGATAACTCGAACCGGGTTAAAATTATTCTAACCAAATAAGACAAAATTAAGGCCATTCATTGCAAAATGTTTTAACCGTAACACAAACGTAAACTTATAATTTGGCTGTGATGTTATTCTGTATACAATATAATATGTAGGTATTACGAAAATGTTTTATTTCCGCTACCGTAAAATGGGGTGACCTATCACCGATCGAGAGATGAATAGGGACAGAAGATGAGTGAATAGAAACATGGAAATTCTTCATAGTATCGATTCACCCTTCTTCGGTCCCTTTTCCCACCCAATTTTACCGTAGTCTTTTACTGTTATAAACTTTATACAATACTTAAGTGGTGACCACAGCCTTTATTCAGTTCTCGAGACAAAAACGATATTTCCATTCACTATTTATATTCAAAATACACGTGCTAATTGTACTGCGTTTTCTCACATGCCACGAGTAGTGAATCCACTGAACAAATTTCCTTAAAAATATGAAACCAATAAAAGCTTTTACATTGCCTAGCCGAGCTATCGAGATTGATTTTATGAAGGAAATGTATAACTACATTATTCGAATAAATACAAATTAACAGTTTCATTACGAAACTCTAATTTACATAAATCTCAACAACGTAATAACTTCACTAGGAACCAAGTTTATTGCAACTGTTATAATAATAGTACTATGTTTGTAAATCGTTACATAATCTATAGACAAGACGCAACAAATGTATAATTATACTAGATCAGGTAGTAAAATAAGTTCGGACGCAATTATACTACAATGTCTCCCATAAATAAAATAACAATCAAATATGAACAAAGAAAAATATCTACAAATATATTATTTCTTCGCATTTTGACTAAATTGCGTTATTTATTATGGATTGGACAAAAAATGAGCCGTTAAAGGTGTCTCGTAGGTACTTCAAAAATTGGCGGAAAACATCTGAACAACTTTGTGGAAGTTGCTTTTGTGTGTCAACATGTTTCTTTATAATATTACACACGCCAGCACTATTGCCAACTATATGTGTTAGAAATCTTTATTTGTTAACGTCTGTTATAGAATCTGCATCAAGTAACGACATAATAGGTAAATAATGTATCTGCAGTTAAATCTACGAATTGTAATTAAAATCTGTAGTTAATTTCAATAAACTTGACATATTATAGTCATAACTGTTTATACACTTTAAGATTTCACCAGCTTTATATCTAAGTATACGAGTATCTTAGGCAATTCTGTTTGAACTATACAATTTATCCTCAAGTCAAATTTAAAAACTCACGACATTTGCCTAAAACTTCTCTCTACCTATTATCACGAACGAAACACTACGTTGGTACGTTATTAAATAATCTAAAATTAATAGTATTAAGTAGTCCTACTATTGCTGAGGAAAGTCACTAACTATAAAAGTTCTGAAGAATGTTTGATGTCAAAGTCGCTTATCAACACCAAAACACGAATATTTCATCAAACGTTCAAGCGTGAACAGCAATAACTTTACCCATTCTCCTTTCTATGGCGTTCTTCGTTTCGTAGTACCATTTCTCTACTGCGGTGTTGTTCTTCAGGTCCTGGAAAGCCGTGCATCCTTCAATGCTGCTGAGAACTCCGAAAACTGTCACGTCGGCTAGGTTTGGCTTGTCTCCCCCCAGGAAGGGAGTTCCTTTCGATTGTACTGCACCCATCCATTCATTGACGGCGTCGTAGAGCGACTCACGTGGATCGTCCTTTATTTTGTGCCTGAAATCCCAAAGCCAGTTTGTTTAACACACTGAGTACCTACCTCAAGAAAGGTAATTAGTATGTTTTTATTTTAAAAGGGGAAAATCATCGAATCACTATCACTACATAGTATAAAACAAAGTCGCTTTCTCTGTCCCTATGTCCCTTTGTATGCTTAAATCTTTGAAATTACGCAACGGATCTTGATTTGCTGTTTTTTTAATAGATAGAGTGATTCTTAAGGAAGGTTTATATGTATAATACATGCATAATATAGTAGAGAAACACTGATAAATTTAGAGGTTTCTAATGTGATGTCGTACCCTACGAGATAGACCAAAATAATGTACTACAGTATTGACCACCTTAAAAAGTTCAACAAAAAAGTCCGCGATGGTATTAGCTATCTGTTAGGGATAGCCCACAATAACCATTTTTTATCCTTTACTATCAATGGTTATTTACGAAGTGATTTTAAACAATACAGCATTAATCCTTATCCAATTAAGTACTTTAAATAAATTGTTCATTTATCATAGATCAATATGCTTTTTACAACATGTAATTTAAGTGAATATTTCCGAAGATATTACAAATTTAAAATGCAGGGACGTATTTGTTGCGGCGTTGATAGTCGCGCTTCGTCCTAGAGCACTTCATAACTTGCAACGATCGCACGCGTTTATCGGAGCTCTCTAGCGAGGAAAATATCAAATAAAACATGATTGTATTGTCTAATGACAAAATAGCTGTGAACGTGGTGTATAAGGACATTTTGTAGTAGGTATTTTTACATAAGTATTGCACCCATACGAAGCCGGGGCGGATCGCTAAGTAATTACTAAAAACCATCAGTATGTTATTTAGTATGTTAAGTTGACACTAATTAGTATATGAAGATGACAGTAAAAATATTGAATTCAATAATGAGTACTACCATTACTATACCAGTTAAATTTAATGTAACTGTATATTCGGGTAAGAATCAGAGCTATACCTGGTCTTCAGCCTCTTAGAAATCATATACATGGCGGCGGCACCAATGTATACCATGAGGGTGCACTCCCACGCGGGGAAGAACTGCCTCCAGCCGCCAGCTTGCTCAAACCATTGGAAGGTCTCAAGAGCTTCGCCGGCCGTCCTGTATACGTTGGGGGATAGTGTGTTGACAAGGACTCGGTCGGCCCACTGACGCCACTGGCGCTCCTCACTGTAATATACGTATAAGTTACTAGTAATGTTAGATTATTTAGGTACAACGGTACTTCAAGTATAAATAATTTTACAAGGTACTTAGATATTTCACGACAATTCACACGATTGCAATCAAATCACTCATGTAAACTAAACGTGTATACGAAATTTCAGCTTAATCGGTTGAAGACATCTGCTTCAAAATTGAGTTGCAAGATTCCATTTCACCCACACACACACACACACACATTCATACATTGCAAGTTGAATAAAAGCTTATTAAAAATGAATAGCAAGTTCACGTCTCATGTTACAGATCTATTGACACGAGCCGCCGGTAATTAATTTCCGATACGTGTGCAGCGCAAAACCAGTCAACACGCTCGACATTAGACAGCAGGTGACTATAGTTATATAAAGACAACTTCACGGGAAAGTAAGCTTTATGAGGTGCAAATATGACTACAAAGCGACCACACAGACTCATGTTTTTGTTTTTGTGCGCTATCGGTGTATGATCGAGGTCACGGTTAATTGACCTAAGTGCTCATTAAAAACGTTAAACGTGTTGCATTTTTAACTTTTCTTTTTAATAAATAATTTCAGTTATTTTACAACTTATTCACGTTATTAACCATTGTTTCATTAATAGTAAAGGCACGTAAAGTGTACGTCAACATTATTTTTTATTACAAACATAATTTTTAATTTCTACTTAGTAGTAGTACTAGTACTTTTGAGCACTCAAAAGTACTTCAGCATCGAGCTTACTTCCGTAGGTACAACGTGTTTGTTTTTATGTGTTTGTTCGGTTCGAAAGTATAATAACAATTACATCGAAAATACATGCAATACTTACACTTCAAGGGCTTTCTCCTTTTCATCCGGCACATTTGCTTGATGCATGATGAAGTATTTGTTCGCAATGTCGGTCGACTCATTTCCAGTTTCATTCACAAACTTGGTGACTGGGTAGAACTTGATGATTTCTCGCAATTCAGAAGATTTATCTTTTAAACACGTTTCGAGGACGGATATAATCGCTGTACTGTCCAATAGTTGCTGAAATTATATGAATACATCTAAACGCATATTCTTTACCTCTAGACTAGTTTTATTTTTCTTTTATATATTCCAAAATTTATTAAGTTATACAAAAGGAAAGCAATAGAATAATAGATTTTTAATACAATAAGAGACACAAATAACAATTTCAGTCTTCTTCGAGAGGATAATGCTTTTAATGGGTATTTATAATCTTTTTACCGTACTGTTACTAGGGTGTTAGTACAGAACATCAGTAAATCAAAATCATAAATACCTGGTAACCTCCATCCACTTTTGCGAGCAGTATGGGTACTTTCTTGTATCCTGACCACTTAATAGCCTGACGGAGCACCGCGTCTACTTCCACTATCTCATAACTGATGCCGCGAGCGTCCAAGTATGCTCGAACCTTACAGCAGAACGGACAAGTCCGGTATTGAAACAGCGTGAGCTGTAGGTTACTCGTATCCGCATCATTGATTATCTAAAATTATAAATAGTTGTGTTTACGATTTGAGCATACAAAACATTATAAACTTACAAATAAGGCATTGCTTACTAACGTATCTTCATAACCTACAAACTGTCATCAATCCTACCAAACTGTCATTCGAATGTTGTTTCCATCAATTACGCAGACTTGCCGGAACAGAAAATCTATGCACGATTGAAGCGCCACGTCACGCTAGTCTAACACAATGTAGAACTTTTCAGACAACTTTCATTTGTACACGTTCCTCCAAAAGTATAAACACATATTGATACTAATTTCATCAAGAAATATTAATAGGAAAATAATGTTGACAAATGAAAGCTATCATTAAGCATGAAGCATTTAGTAGCGATTGTTATCAACCAATTATTATTTTTTTTAATTAAAGGTAATTTCGCTCAGGAGTTCTATCACGTACCTAATCACATTACATTAAACACATCACACGCATTTTTAATACTATTTTGGAAAAACTAGTTTATCCCATAATTTAATATTTTAGGCTCGATGCAATAATCAACTGTTGTTAGACAATTTGAAAAAATAAAACATTTCTCTCGTGCAAGATCAGCATACAAAAACAATTGAAAATATACAGCCAAGTAATTATAAAAAAAAAAACTTTTTTAGCGTGGAGAGCCACCACAATTCGCATTGCTCATTCAGCCCAATACTACTTTTAGATCTTAACTTAAACAATACATAATGTTATTTGCACAATTTTTATTTAGCAATGCTTATAATATTTATTCGCTTTGCGCACCAAGCTGAACGTGTTTACTGTATGGCATTGGCAATGTTAATGAAAATGAATTCGATGCGATACAATACATCTACAACACGAGACAATTGACAAACCATGCAATATCCTTATGGCGTGTCAACTGTTATATTTTAATTACACTTATTTTGCCCAACAGCAACAGCCTATGCAATGCACAGAACACTCGAGCTACTAGACAACATATTATTACTAATATATGAATTACATTATTTGCCGAACTGTGTAACTTAACTGCTGGCCATAATCAATTTGTAAAATGAATCGTTTTTGAACTTTGGGTTTCGTAGAGTAATCTTTTCTGGTTCACATGCGTAATGCATTATTATGTTATTGCAGATTACATAAATTGTCGGTGAGGGACCGATAAAAATCTAAAAAGCGCTAATCTCCGGAACTACTGGTTCTAATTTAGTAACGTTCTTTATTAAAAGTAGCCGCGAGTGAAAACGCTAGTAGCTATGTATGATATTAGGTGGAGTCGCAGTAAAGAAAATTTAATCAATACGGTAAAAATAAATGTAGTGATTTTCAGAACCCATCTTTACTCAGACACATCATTATTTTCTATATGAGCGAGGGTGTGACAATAGACGCCTACTATCCTTAAGGATGTCTTAAGTTAGGTGTCACCCCCATAAAACTAGATAATGTGCGTAGGTACACTGTTCACAATAACACGCGCTCTCGACCCGACCGGACGGTTACATTATGAAATTAATTTCATCCGACTCAACGCCAATGTAACAGGCTTAACGCGTATCCCGTGAAGCGTGAGTTCATGCAGCGATGTTTAATTTTTTAAGTAAGTGTTTTCATCATGTGAACTCACGTACATCAATACCGAACCGGGATATATTTTGATATACTAGTTACCTACAAAGTGTTGCTAAAGCAATCTGGAAGAAGTATCTACCATAAATTTCATACCTTTGTAATTGGCGCTGAAACCGCCTGAAAATATTTTTACATAATCGCGACTTTAAAAACCAAACATAATAAATACCTTTTTCTCAAAAAAATCGTTACAATTGCAAGAAACTTACATCGTAAAGTTTTAGGGACGACTCATGCTAATTAACCATATTGGGATATAAAAAGTTACTTACTATTGCAATAAATCAATAGGGCGATATTGCACATGCGTATAGGAAAAAAGTAGAATTGAGAGACAACATCGTAAAATTAATGAAAATATAAATCTGAAGTTCCGTCAAGGATATTAAGTGATTAATTCGTACAGAACATCTACCGGTAAGTACGACGTACCAGAATATACTAAGCGTAAATAAATACGCTCATTGTATACAAACACCAAACAACTTTTCCAGTGTCACATACACGTACTTGTTGAATAACGACAAGGTACGACGAAACCTTGATTTTCGAAGAATGTTTGGCCGTCTCAAGACATTAGAGCTTTACAACAAAGTCCGCGCACGATCCGTCGTAGTATCTTTCCATTAACGGAACTACAGTCCCCAGGGCTTTTGGAAGCACCCGAATCCAAGTCGGCGGAGGCCCGTTAGCCAATTTAACACAATATTAAAATGGAGTTTTTACTAGGATACTAGGCTTTCCGTAAAATATAGCAATAAAGATCTAGGATAAACCTAGTGACATATATTTTGTTGTGTAATGCTTCTCATCTTAAATAACTGATGTAAAAATCAATACTTTTAACATGTTCATTCTCCAATAGTGAATACTCGTTCATAGCACACTAAGAGGTCTTGGTCTAGACTCCTCCACTACAGGATTCATAAAACAGAACTGCCAATGGTCCACACTCAATATTAAACACAGAACATTCCAATTGGCCACTACGCTATAGTTACCAATTCACAGTAGAATTCACACTATCAACTTGTAAGTAGCATTTATTGTGAGTAAACAGTAATTGTAGCACTTTGTCTGTTCTGTCTTATCTTAATTCACTCATCTTTCATTGTGAAATATGTTACTATAAGAGTGTTTCTCAAAATTAATACTCAATTATCGTTCAAATTGAAACCAATGTCTATAAAATTATTAAAAATTATTATCTAACATGGGTCACCATTTAGTGTCAACATTTTATAGTGATAATAGTGTTACAAGCATGAACTTGTGTAACACTTGGAACGAAACTGACGATTTCATCACACACCTGATGTGAAAGCAGATTTACAGATCTAAATAATAAGCCCGGCAGCAATATAGAACTACATTTAGTAAACTGACTATCATATCAATAATATTAACTTTAATTCAATAATTAAATGTTATAATTTAAGAATGTTTAAAATCGACACTATTTACATTTACCAATACTCTAGTCTTAACTAACTCTAGCAATATTTTATAGTTGACTCATTTTTGAAGCATTTTATCTATATTTTCAACAGCTTATAAGTGCCCACTGCCAAGCGAAGCTTCTTTCCCCATGGTAAAAGTTTGAGCATTAATCACCACGTTTGCTCATTACGGGTTGGTGATTTCATTTTATAATCATTATAAAAATACATTTTACAATATTATATTTTGATGATAATTTTGAATATGATGTAATCTAGTTTTTCAGTCACAAAAATTAAATGTTGATTGTACATTAGCAAAATAATTAATTAGACGAGTGACCTTTCCCTTCACTAGCTATCTAGGTAGTAAAATCACTTGCTGTACCAGACATTCCATAAAACTGTTTCATTCATTTATCTGCTGTATGTTATTTCAATATTGAAAGTGCTTTTGTTTAATTATTACAAATCTTGCTTGATAATGCAATTTATTTTTAACTTACAAAATGATCATAAAAATTAAACATATTATGCTTTTGCATTTCATTTATAGTATAAGTTCTTGTTATTTCTGTACTTGGCCTGTGTTTAATTTTATGAGTAGTGCTTATTATTAGTATTATTTTTCATCACTTCTCTAACCTAGCAACTACTTGCCCTCATAATGTAAGACTTATGTGATTAAACAGAAAATTAAACAAGTTCTAATTCCAGCTCTGATAATATTATGGTTAACTGCATCAGGCTCATAAATCACAGCTAAAAAACATTAAATGTGAATATTTGTTCCAACTTTGGGTTCAATTTATTAATTTCTACCAATATGTGGTAAAACCATGAAATAAAACAGGAAACACCCTTTAACAACAAACAACAACCTTTTCCACAAAGTCTAGATTTCAGTATGTACCATAGTCAAGGGCTTTTCTTTTTTATTTCAGATAGGTATACAGCTTTTAAGCTGACAAAGCATTACAAAGTAATATTTGAATTGTAGGTATTTTATGCTCAAAATATGTCCAATTTATTTTTTATATCATTATTTTGAAACAAATTCATTGCATACACCTAGAAATCTTGCAACATATTGTATTTGTTGTGTGAGTTGTGTTATCTGTACCAAACAATCTAGTTCTTTCACATATACCTACTATTGAAGTTATAGGTACAACTATGACAGTAATGATGGCAGCATTGAAATTCGTTTGAATGAAGCACTTGACCAGCTGTTGGTTCATGTGCTTAGGTTGTAAACATAAGTCTAGGTTAGAATTCATAAAATTATAATTTTATTGGGTTTATTACTTTTATTCTTTAACTCCTTAAAACCTGCTCTGATATATTACCTTGTTCTTGTTTATTACTTTTATGTTTACGACCGTATACACCTATTTATTTTTCTTCCAGACCAGAAGAGTACTTTTTTACGTACTTTTTATGAAACTGGTTTAAAGAAAGCATTATGATTTTCATGTTTTTCATGCCAAATCCAGAAAATATTAAACTTATATCTATCTAATAGTATTTATTATGATTGAAACTTTAGTTTTGTCGGTAACTGTATCTTCACTTGAATGCATGAAATTTTATATGGATCCTTTTGTGTCTCGGTAAATTGTTGCACTTTTAAATTTAGTTTTCTAATATCAACTCAAACATAAATTTGCGCATAGCGTGTGAGGGCGCGGTCACTTGAATGTTATATAAAAGCTCGAAATTTGAGTACTACTTTAAAAGTTGCATAAACAATGTTGACTTACTTTATAATGAGCTGCATACTCTGGAGCTTCTTTCAAAAATGCGTACTCTTCAGTTTCCCCAGGTTTAAAAGTCTTTTTAACGTTCACTTTATAATGCGTGTAACCTCCATAACCTGCGCCGACGAGAACACCGATACTAGCACTAACAAGGGTTAACTTTGATGTCGACTTTGGAAGTCGGCTTTTTGTAGAAAAAAGAAATTTTGAGAGATTTAAATTATCTCTAAACGAAGGCAAAACTACTTTTTGTAAGATGGTGAAACTCGGCCTCCACATTATGTTATCAATCAGTAGTAAGACCACATGAAAACAAAATAATGCTATAGATAGGTACGTACGCAAACGAACGAGCTACTATTTTGTTCTCGTTCGGTGCCTCTGCCTCTTTCACAGGGCTGGCAAACCAAATCTCTATTCTCTATGGTTTATTATCACAGATTATGCAAAAACTCAAGCGGATATTTTTATTCGATTTCTTTATCGATATTATTAAATTCAAATTGATTATAAATTATTTTTTAACCTTTACTTAAATTTAAATAAAGTCTTGTGTATTTCATGGAGTATGTCAAAACTCGAGACTGATCAGGCTAATAACAAGAAAACCGTCTTCAAACAAATAGATGTTTGGTCACAAATTACTATTGTTTTATAAATATACCTGCATTTCCAATTTCAAATGTGTTATTAGCCTTGTTAATGACCAACTAACAGTTTTAGTAATTTGTCAGTTTCTCTAAAGATACACAAGTTTTAACAAAACCTGATACATAATGCTTTTGGTTTTTTCAAATTTCCAGGATAAATGGAACCTGAGAGACGTGAAGCGGTTTTTAAAATACCGGCCCCAAAAATGAAAAAAAAAAGAAAACGACACAATGAAGATGCCGATTATGTACCCTGGGTAATATTTTTCATATCTTTGTTTCATGTTTTACAAAATCATCTATTTCAATTAAACCAAGAAGATACTTATGAACGTCAAAACTAAATATTAAAAATGTTTGTTTGGTCGGTCAGTCGTCTAGAGTCTAATAAAGCTAGTTGGCTCGTTTTAGAGTATAAAGGTTTATGGAGAAAGCAATAAACTAAATAGGTTACTCTTTTTCAATCAGGTTCACAATACAATTCTTGGTAACATTATTTCGTTGGTTCAATTATGTGAGAATAATGTAACATCAATATTCAGTTAAGGAGATCTTAGGAAAATAACTTTCAGGACAAAAAATTTAATACAACTTGGAGCTGACCAGTCCTAGATGAGTGCGTCTGTTCACGAACATAACACGATCACCAGCACAGCCCAACTAACCATATCGAGTGACCCACTGCCCGTGCCACTTCCAATGAGACTTTTGAGTGAGAATGACTTCTCCAAGCTCCAATATTCAATATTATCAATGTTTGCAAAACTTAGTATATAACTTGGTATAAGCATATGCATATTTTTACCGTGTAAATTAATTAGATGCCTAAGTAGTATTTATTATCCCGTCCCCTGTTACTTCAGCTTGTTAAAATCCCCTCGCTACTGAGCAATTTCATCGACGTTCGTTAGATTGTGACCGATTCGTTTGATAATTTGACAAGTTTGAGACTAAAAATATCAAGCATGCACCTCCCATTGCAAAATGAGGGACAAAGTTTTTGCACCGAATAGCATGCATTTTACTTACTGCTACGCTTGTGAGTTGTAATTATTATTGTAATACACACTGAATATGGAATTATAGACCATCGATTTAACTGAGGTGTAACTCAAAGTGCGTACAACTTGGCAAAAAATTGTTTAGCGTGGTGACAGCTGGAACTAATAATGTCTAGGACTGAATCACCCACTTCGCATCATATTCCTTGAATAAAAAATAATTTTAACAATGTAATTCCTCATTATCAACTCGATGAAAATATCTATTATCCAAACTGGTAGAGTCGTAGTGTGTAGGTTGCGGACTGCCACAGGTACGCTCAGGTACAATACTAGCGACCTCAATAATTACAAACTCTCGACTGCTAAGCTGTATGTTATGTCTTAATACGGTCAGTGGTCATTAGAGGTATTTCACGTCCACAAAATGTTAAACTACAATAATTAACTGTTCATACAATTGACATAATCACGATATTGTTCTGAATTTCTTCGTTAGCAATATTAGGATTGCTGGTCCTGGCCAGCTAGGTTCAGCTAGGTGGAGTGACGACATCCATAAGATGGCTGGTAGTGGTTGGATGAGAAGAGCTGAAGACCGAGCTCAGTGGCGTGCCATTGGAGAGCCTATGTCCAGCAGTGGACGCATACGGGTTGATGATGATGATGGTCTTGGCCTAAAGTTTATGAAAGAACTAATAACAAAGGGCCAATCTTAGAATTATCTCTTCATTCATAAAATAATTAGAAATATGAAATGATAATAATATCACGATATAAAATTTTTACTCGCCTAATCGAATAAAATCGATTTCCTATAAATGAATTAGATCATAGACAACATTGTATTCACAACAGTAATTTTCCCGTCTCGGGTTTGTCGCTATGTCTCTGTTGTAGATATACCATTTATCCAGTGATTATGATTACCTTCTAGTTCAATAACTAGACTTTTGAGGAATTGTAAAATGCTATGTTTTATTATTTCTTTTTTTTCTCCAGTGACAATAAGCCACGAGTGTTTACTTATGTTTTAAACGCGGTAGCTTACCTCTGGCGCCATAAGTAAGGTAATTGTCGTTTCACATCTTCATCTATGATATTGGCGCGTTAGTGATTCCGAAAATTTATCAATGTGTATGAACTGCGCAGTGTTCAGTAATGGTTATTAAATGTTTAGCGCCGGGGTTATGCCCGAAGCATGCCATCGACGTCGCGGTCGAGGGGCTCCGGGCGCGGGCCGGACGGCGCGCCACGGCCCCAAGTCATAGCGCCCATGTCGGAGCGGCAGCAACTAGCCCTCGTAATGCAGATTTCATCACAAGATGCTCCTCCAGGTTTGGTACCAATTATCATCATAAAATTGCAAGTGTTAATGCTGAGAGTAGGTCTGACTTCCCGCCATTTCCATATTCAGCCGCTCCGACCCCAGCAGAAGAACGAAAACGCACCAGGCAGCAGCGCAATGAGCGCGGTGAGACACCTTTGCATGTAGCAGCTATCCGAGGCGACCACGATCAAGTAAAGAAATTGCTTGATCAAGGACAAGATCCCGATGTTCCTGATTTTGCTGGTAACACATTGTTAAGTTTTCTTATTTAATAGTCAATGTTCTAATAGTTTTCTCCATTTTATCCATGTTTCTACTTTCTTGCTTCAAATTACTAGTATGACATTTTTTTTGCTTCTGTGAAAATAAGGATATATGTTATTGAAACTATATTTGATGTTGAATTTTCAAAGTCAATGTTTGTTGTCGTTCACTCACATTGTATTGATGTTTAGTTCATATTTGTTCACATGTACACAAATATATAAACAATAAACCACAATTAAGTTCAAGCTAAACAGACACAAGAACTAAAGCTTCTATAATGACGAATGTAAAACCATTTTTAATATTTACTGTTTATTGAGATGTAAGCTTGAATTTAACTATGTTGTTATGAGTCCTCCCCTTGCACAAGCATGATTAGTTTGTATGGGGTGGTTAACAAGTTGTCTAGTTAATGTTAATAACATTTCTAGCATAAACTGATTATGTTAATAGATATATACCTACTTGACTAAACAGATAATGAAATTTGATGATTAAAAAAATCATCAATGGTCAATAGATTGTTTGATCATCATTAAAATCATTATTTATTATTGTAGCTATTTATGTTAGAGTGATAGGACATTATACACAACTCTACAGGTAGCAAAATTTTAGCAAGTGTCGACACTACATCATCAAAAGGATTAGATTATTTGGTTTGAGCAGATTTATAATACTAAATAAAATTTTAAATCAATAGGGTGGACACCACTTCATGAAGCTTGCAGTTATGGGTGGTATCAAGTTGTAGTGGTACTTGTAAATGGTGGTGCTAATGTCAATGCAAAAGGTTTAGATGATGATACTCCTTTACATGATGCCACAACTTCTGGTAATCTCAAAATGGTCAAATTCCTCATTGAACATGGAGCCGATCCATTTGTCAAGAACACCAAAGGGAAAATGCCATCAGATTATGCTGCACCACACATCTTTGAATATCTGCAGTCTTTAAAAGGTATGTTTTCCTAATTCCAAGTATGTACTATGATTTGATTTTAATTTGTTTGTCTAGTATGGATTAAAATTAACTGTTTCTTATACAATTTACATCCAGAACACTACACTAGCATATTGTATTATTTTTTGTATAATATATTATTGTATCTATAATAATCTACCTACTCTTATATCTAATATATTATTTATTTATATCATATATGTATATCATATACATACATAAGAAAAAATCTACAAATCATGATTATTAGTTTCTGTTGAATATCTTTTGTGTTGGTTTAATTAACAATGACTTTTAATTTGTACTAGACACTCTAAAAATAATATGAATTTGCTTTTATAGGGACTTGTTAACACAATTCATCAGAATGTAACCTAACTAAAACATAATGTATGGGTGATAATATGGCAAAACAAGTATTTTACACAATTAATTATGATTTATTTGAACAAGTGAAGAACTAGTCATGCTTGTCTCAATCACACTAAATGTTTGCTTCATAAAATTAGAAGCTTTTGATTACATACTTATACTGCTGACTATTCTTCTCATTTTGATCATTTACTGTTGTATGTCTTAAAGCTCAGCATGTTATGTTTAGCTTGTTGTAGAAGCTAATGCAATAGTTTTATAGGGTGAGAAAATATCAAGCTGTTTGATAATTTCAGCCCTGTAGTTTATGCATGTTTATGTTATGTAGCTAAATTAGTATATATATATTTAGTGATACTGTGTTACTTATTTTTAAAATACAACTGTTTATTAAGTTTTTTGAAATATTTATAACAAGCAATTGATGCTGTATCGGAAAGTTTTATGCTCTATATGTTTACAGTTCATTGAACTTTATTAACATGACTAAGTAAAAACTTTAACCAACATAAAACATTATGTTAAGTTAAAACGGTTTTATGTCAGAATTCTTACCAATTAGTATTAGCCATAACTTAAAAATTCCTCTTCATTGTGTTAGAAAAAATTGGGGGTGATTTCTTAATTTTTGAAAGTCAGACAGTTACATTTTTCTCTACAGAGAAAAGCTTTTTTCCTCACCTTCACACTGGTACAATTTCCCGATTTTTCTCAATTTTCAGTGATTTGCTTTCGTATAAGTTATTTTGTCTGTTTCAATAATTTTATTTAATGAGTATTGCAAACCATTGATTGGGCCTTCTAAGTTAGTTGGTTACTATCTTCTTTTTGTCCTTCAGTCTTTTATGAGATCTTGTAACTATAAATATTTGGCTACCCAATAATATCTACCTAAGTAAGTAAATACCATGTAGGTTGAAATCACATCTATCTTATCTGTTTATAGTGGTAAACAAGGGTAGTAAATTATAAGGGTGTGGTATTATTTTTTTTTGGTAAAAAATAAACTCAGAATAATGGATGAAGGTTTATTTGTTGACTTTGTATATGCGTATAAACTTGTCGTCATACTTAACGCAGCTAGGGAACAAAACACTGTTAGTGCAAAAAATTCGGTTCAGCTATTTCACTTTTCAAATAATTTGAAAAGTAATAGAAAAACTTAAATTCATTCAACTTATTTCTTCCTTCTCCATGTCCCAATTTGATTTGTTTCTGAATTTGCGGGACACCCTGCTTGTAATTTATTATTGACTCTAAATATATGTGCCCATCAATGAAATACTCTTCACAAGATTTATTAATTTGACCTTTCATATTCTTAAAGGACAGCGGCAGGGCCCCGCAATTTTCCCATTATGTTCGTATATACAATGATGACTGGAATTTGTGGACCCCTCCAATCAAAAGATGCGTTTGTGTCGCAGAGGTACTTACATCTAATATGAATGTACAGTCGGCCACAGAACATAAATATTTTTTATGGGGAAATATCATCGAATGACTTCTCGCACTCAGGTGAGGAGTATCAGACTGTTATTGACTAAAAATCACCCCGCTCCTACTCCTGCTTTCGAGCTGGAGCCCTGGTAACCTGTTACGTTCTCCGCGGATCCGTATCGGCATCAGCCCTATTGGGCTCCATCTGTGGAGGTCTGATGGCTCGTCGAGACGCGCAGAGACGCGACGCGCCGTACGCTCGGGTATGGTTCTGGTCGTGCCGCGAGCTACCCGTGCTCGTACTTACGGTGGCCGAAGATCATCTTGCAATCCCCGGCGGCCGACGAGTGTCCTTTGCGACGGTTGAGATGTGAGGAGACAGTGCTTCGCTGCCCCACATGTCCTGCTTCCTCCTTAGCTAGCATGACTGCTTCGCAGAAGGAGTCGGCATCCTATTGCTTATCGCTCCGTATCATTGCCCGAACTAGAGCCGGACGCGAGAGGTCGCCGTCACCGACTACCTCCCCTCACCCGGGCATTTCCTCCCGCCCTATCAGACACAAGGACCTCCCGAAGCTCCCATGAAATAAGTAAGTACCTGCGTCAGGCGGTACGATAGGTGAAGACGCCGTAGACTAACGACCTGTTAATAACAAAATTTCATGCAGTTAGTAGAACAGACAGGCAGACAAAAGTTCGTGAAAACGTGTAGTTTTTGTACTTTTGTTGCTGTAATAAAAATAAAAACGGCCTATGTAAGAGTTTTATGTCTTTAATGTACACGCATCGGCCGCCGCGACTCACGACCGTTCTATTCATTCTATTAGGTTAGTACCTATAGTTAGAACAGTGCAGCGAGGTCGTGGGGAGGCATAAAGTGCATTAAGTATATTCCGCGCCTGTCTGATATCGATCGATCCAAGACTTAAGTCGAGCTCGTCGCTACCGTGCTGCATTTACAGAATCTTAGCTAAAACGTTACGTAGGTCTTATTCATTGCTATTATTGAATTTAACTCGTCGAGTACCGTCATTATAGACACAATTATAGAACAATAGGTTGCGGTCACCGGTGACCGCTTGGTGTTTGACAGTTTAACTATGTACATACATAGGTAAATAACTGCTCAGGGCAATTTAGATACAAATAACTACAAGACATAATATCGTTAAGGTTTTTTCGAAGACATTTAGGGATGGAAATGAAGTTCATTTAATTGACTTATAGTGAAATATTTACAAATAACGACCAGTCCCCGTTTTGCACGGCCGTTAATTTCCAACTTCCTTTGTGTTAGTGATTTCTTTGTTATCAGCCGATTGCTATTAACAGAGTTCTCGAAAAAATTTATAAAAATCTATCATAATCTGACGATGGCAATAAAACAATATTTAAAATCTATCTGGCCATGCACACTGATGAAATGACCGAAACTACCGAGAATAATTGGTGTTCATTTGAGTTTTCTTTTAAAAACCTGGCATCTCACTAACTCAAAACTAATTTCTATCACACGGTTCGGGTTGTATTATTTACTTATCGACTTCGTTTTTATTCATTTACTTATCTTAACCATTAGTTTTCCAAAAATAAAACCAGGAGTGTATATTTCCTAAACTTTTATACTTTAAATAATTTACGGTTATCAAAGATATTAGACAAACAATGGAGGTATGGTAGTCAATAATGAAATTATAAATGCTTACTCAGGTTTTTCCTACGTTACATTTATTTTACATTCAATTCGGATCGTACTTATAGCGCCATCTATTGTGCGTTTTTAAGCGAGGGCCCTCGCCCTTCATGATGGGCCCACTATGTAGTGCAAAGTTTGCACCGCGTGGCGCTAAGTGAATAACTGTATGCGTTTGTTTATGTGACACACAGGAAGCGATAAAAATTTGCATTTTAAGTGTTTAATGTTATAAATTAATGTATTAAATATTAATACTCTGTGAAATTATCCACAGCGTACCATTTTATTTTAGTTATTCATATAGATAGATCTAACACTTTGAAGAATAAATCAAATCAAACTGGTATTCAAACTGCGATTTCGATAAGGGCTATAGAGTAGAGTAGACTCAAAGGTTATGGCAGAACCGAAACAAAAATCGCGAGATTTAAATTTAATGCTGTATGTTTACTTCAATAATTTTTGTAAATGGCTACACGGAAAACGTAATGCGCAAGCGCACCAGTGAGTATAAGTTACTAAAAATCAACAACGTATAACGTAACGTCTCAGCTAAGATTAACGTAACCACGTGAAGTTCGTCCGGTTCGTTCGATGTACATGCTGTGCCGCGTCGATTCTCTACATAGAGTATGTTCACCTTAACTTAAAGAAAATAATTTGGTAAATGTATTTACTTTTCTATTCTATTTAATATGAATTTTTAACTCTCTGTAACTGTTAATACTTATAATAATAGCGACGCGTTTTCCAATTAATTGTAACATTTTGGAAACCAATGTTATAATTATTTCGTGTAAAGGAGCGATTTGGGGCGTGTTGCTTGGGCTGTCGAATGATGGCCGATCCCTGACGCCAACTTCGTGGCGGTCTTGTAGACCGATATAGCATAAGTTTTATTGTGGAAAATTTAAGTTTACGGACAAATATAAACTCTTCAAACTGTCGGACTACGTGAAATGCAAAGGAGGACGCTCTCGCACAACAAAGGGGAGTTCACGTTTACTCATTATTCACTTCATAGAGTTTACTTGTGATCATGATGCACGCCGCACATGATCCGCGATCGTGCTCTGACCCCTGCGTAAACTCATATTGATGATCTGATTGACGTGACAATATGATTATTTTATAGAACGCTCATCATGGGTTGTCGAATTTACAGTAGTTAGTGGACGTAGTAAGCTTTATTTAAACAATTTGTAAATAAACTGCTGAGGCGCTAAGGTAATTACGTTTCCAAGTGTCATTATTAAAAAAATAGCAATACTTTGTATTTGTAGGTAAGTAAGTCAGCTTCCGTACATTGCCGGGAATTTTCGTATTTTTATGTACTAGCGAAATATTGATTATTCATGCAATATACGACTTTAATACTGCCATATCAGTGTTTCATTGTCTTATCAACAAACTGTGTGGTGTGTGCTTCTACTTTTTGGTCTGTATTTTTCGGTCGATACTGACAGTATGCCTTAGAAATTTAATTAGAGTTTAGTAATTACTGCATAGGTTGATTCAAAACTAACATCAATGATCTCATGCTTCGTATTTATTTACCTACCAAATTTAGTATTCCTACTTCCCTATCATTATATACATGTCCTATAGAAGACTAAGACTAAGTTATACTGAAAATCTTTAATCAGTAGATTTACATTAAATTATCATTATAAGTACATAGTCTAATATGCACACAAACATATTTAAAGTAGCAATTTACCTATAGTTAAGTAAATTATCATGATTTGTTTATTTTGACATTACTTGAATGACCTATATAAGTATATAATATTATTAACAATCATTAAAATACAATTTGGTCCATAGGATATGATAACCACATATTTCATAATGATGTGGAAATTGTTGTTTTTATCTGTTGTATGTAGTTTAAGTTAGAAAACTGTGTGACTTGCAGTAAGTTGTATCTCTATTCTAACAATATAAACATATACCAAGGGAAGTAAATGTATTACATTATTCAGAGAGTTGTATTAGAATAGATGAAATATGTAGACAAGATGTAGTTGAACATGTTTCCCATGTGTCCCTCTAGAATTGTTTTACAAAGTCTGTATGTTTACATAGTAATAAATAAATGTAGCTGTCCAAAACTTTACTAGGTTTCTATTACATTTACATATTTGTTCATAAAATCATAGTTTCTGTGATAATATTTCCATCCATCTAACATTATTAATACTTATTCACCATTATTCTTACTGTAAATATTCCATTTAACATGAATAATCATTGAATATTATAATAATGACATCATCACAGTCAACATAACAACTCCCAAAAGTATTAAGGTTCTCTTGTAAATATTCCATAAATTAAATGTTTAATATGAAAAATAATAGAATGTATTCTAATATTAATATAATTGACAAAAATAATATTTAATTAACAATTATAGCTTCAGTGCTTCAGTATTGAAAGAACTTGTTTTCCGGCTTTTAAGGAAAGTGCTGTCAATATTAATGACAAGAAGGTTCCTTTTTATGTGGAACATATTGGTTTATGTGAACAGATAATAACGCGAGAGCAACACACGTCAGTCGGGCAAGGGATGACAGCATCAAAAAGGGTTGCAATGCCAGTGGTAACAGCGATTGCAGTAAGCGGAACAACATGGAGACCCTAGCCCAGGGGGAACATTTCGATGGCAAGGACATCACCACACAGGAAAAAGGGGGTGCCGCCGAGTCCAGAGACGGTTAGAGGCATAAAAAAAGCATTCGTATTTTGAGAGCTTCGTCGAGGCGTCACGTAACGCTGCCGGCTGGTGTGGTGTTAATCAGTGGTGGCCATGTGTCAAACTCAAGCTATAACTATTTTTTTAAGCAATCATTAGATTTATTAATCATAATTAAGTCAACATAATTATAATTATTTAGATATATGCATAATTATAATAATTAAATTAAGGAACTCATATACAGAAACTAAAAGAATTAGAATTGTTGTCTGTCTGCCTACTTCTAATTCTAGATAATATTTGAGCATGGTTTAGTCCTAATCATGTTTGATTGCCAGAGCCAAAATGATTGGATTTTTTTAGAAATTAAGTATTATGTGATAATTTTTACCAATATCTTAATACTTACTTATAACAATAAATAATTATATCATATTGTTAACCTCTAGAAAATGGCTCTTAAAGAAAATAAATTTTAGTGTTATACTATTTTCAGTTACAAGTTAAACAACATAATATTTGTGATGTTTTTACATTAATTTTATTTTCAGATGGATCTCAGCTAAGTAGCTCTGTGGTATCATCGACTCAAGACGACAGCATTAAGAGACCGCACGAAGATAGTGCAGATAATGAAGCGGCTGAAGACGATGTTTCAAAACGGAAGAAACGTAAGGACAATGAAGAGAAAGAGCCAATGGGCAAGCCGGCTCCGGTGGCGCGAGGAGGACCTGGACGGTACGACCATAAACATGTCAATACACGCTTTTATAACACAAAATCAAAGCTACTTTCATGGTTGAAGTAGTTAAGCATTGGCTGATGTGTTGCACACATGTCGTAGGTTTAATACCCGCTCAGAACAATTTATTTTATGGTTGACAAATGGTTCCATTTGTCCTAAATATGTTAGTGTCTTATGGCTTAGGGCAAAATACTAGTATGGAGTTTTTAAATAAACAAATGTATTTCTGTACAAATAAATGTTTGAATTTTAATATTTACAGTGTCTTAACTGGCAGTAAACCACCAGGGCCTGCAAGTAAGACAGGTGCTGTACCATTAGGAAAGAGTGGAAGTGGACAGAATGTCAGCAAAGGTGGTGCTGGTTCTTCTGGCAAGGGAAGCTTGCAAGCACAGGGGAAAGGAGGCAGTGGAGGATCAAAGGGTAATGCACAAGGGTCACATCAGGTAATTTTATTCATTTATTTAAAGCCTCATAACTATTTAATACGAAGACATTAACCATAGCTCTCTTCTTGCCATGGGAAGAATTAAAAGAAATTAAATAAATTTTTAATTTGTTCTCACAGTTCCCACAGTTGTTGAATGTTGATGAAGCTCTAAGTGAACTCATGACTTTTCGTCGCCTCTGGCGAAACTGTCACGAATAAGCTAGTAATTTATATCATCAATAAATAAAGGAATTCACTGCCTAACCCTTCGGGGATAAAAAGGGGTGATATTCTATATGAATTCACTAAATTGTTACAAAATGCCTTTCAGGGGAAATCTGGAGGCGGGAAGGGTAGTTCTCTGCAAGTAAGCAAGCAGGACCGGAAAAGCCCAGTTGCTAGTCCAAAGCCGAACCAGAATAAAGATAATGATGGTGACGATGAGCCAAAGACCCATGAAGCGGCACCTAAGGTCCCGCCGCTGAAGATCGTCATACCAGGTGGTGCAGGAGGATCTGGCAGTAGAAACGAGCAAGAAGGCGAAGGTAAGACTCTAACATTAATTATACAGTAACCAATGTGTTTTATTTACATATTATCTAAAATCGCTTCACTTTTTTGATGCCTGTATACATCTCGGCTTTACATGCATAGTTACATTTAAGTACATGTAATGTGATATTGATGATGTTTCCTCAATTAATAAATGGTTTTAATTGATGAATTTGTTAAATAATCTTAAAGTAATAATATATCTTAAACTCTCATTAATTGGTTTAATTTTAAACAGTAATAGTTCATATTTGCGTTCTGTGGAACACACCATATACCAAAAATTATAATATAATTTTCTTTTTCCCATTTGATATTCATTACTTATATTTATGAATATTTTATAAAAAAAAGTACCAAGTATTTAGTTTCATTACAAGGAAAAGTTAACATTTGATTATTTTACTATGAAATTTTAAATCAGTAGCGACGAATTTTCACAAATTTAACTTTTTTAATGCAAAATCACCAACTTAGTTTAGATCTCTTCCCCTGGAACTAACTTTATTTAGGTGGAACAGGGGCACGAGGTAGCGGTAAAGGACGCGGTAACGCATCAACATTGCCCTACGTGATACCGTGCACGAGCACAGACACGGGTCAAACATCTGATAGCTCAGACGGCACTTCCGACGACAAGAGAGGCGAAGGTGGAAAGGTAAAAAATCAATGCAATGTTTTCTAATTTGAAACGATGTTGTCTAAGTATTACAGAAGGCTTAGTTTGCTTTTGCTATTTACTCTATTATTAAATAGTATTAAATAAATACTTGAACTAACTTAACATACTCATAAACCCAATTTTCGTCCGAAGGCTGGACAGAGAGTCCTCCGTTCTCATAGGACAAATGACGGGGATAAAGATAAGGAGAGGACATCCCCTCAGACAGGGAATGACAGCCGCTCCGGGGCGGGACAGGCTCAAGCTAATTTAAATTCGAACAAAAGTCCTACACCTTCGGGCTCTGTAAGTAAATGAGTAGTTCAACAATTTAACAGCATTTAATACATAAAATAACTTACTACTTTTGTGAAAATGTTTTATATGTAAGGTTTACATTTATACTTGAAAACAAATTTTAAATACTTGGGTCTTCATTTTAGGGGCAAGATCATGAGCATTCCTCAAACTCTGGAAGATCTGAATGTAAGTGTATACATTATCATAGTGTGAATCTATTAAATAAGTAGAATTTTTTTATGTAGTTTAAAAACATGAGATTGTAACATTTTAGAAACACATGATTTCGTTATAGTATAGCACAATATAACCCATTCCCATTGTATCTTAGGTCCTACATCTACAAATTGTTAATTACAATAGCGCAATTTTGGTCTGTTGTAGCTAACTCGGGCCATGTCGAGTTGCATCCCAGGAAAAGAAAGATTAAGGCTTCAAAAGATGGTCACTCCCGAGATCAATCAAAAAATGAGCAAACTCACGAGTCTACTGCAAGCCATAATATTACGCACTCTAATCCTTATCAGATGTATATCCACATAAGAAAACAGGTTTGTAATAATGTTGTAATGAAGACATTCCTTTTTGGTAAAAAAATTACCAAAATAATTTAAAGCTTGTAAAAAATAACGTCCTACAATTTATTATTTACAGATCGATCGGCGACAAAGAAGTCTATTTCCGGTGAAACCAAAACCTCCAAAAGATTTTAACAAATATTTAATGAATAGATGTACCTACACTCTTCAGAGTAATGTAAATCCTGATCCACAGGTGGAAATCCCGCATAATTTACCTACGCAGATGATAAACGAGTTTATGGCCCAAGAAAAGGAAAGGTGTGTTCATATTTATCTTAAAATTATGATTTTATAAGAATATGTAACTTCAAGTAGTAAAATGTTTAATATTTAACAGAACAAGATTACGAATTCAACACCTTATTGAAAAGGAAAAGTTGGTGTTGGCTGTTGAACAAGAAATATTACGAGTACACGGACGCGCCGAGCGTGCAGTGGCGAACCAGGTAAAACAATATTAACGTTAAACAAAACCCTTTGATGATGGTTCTGTTTCCACAATATCCAATTTTTTAAGGGCTTACCTTTTTACCGACAGTCTCTACCGTTCTCCGTGTGTACGATACTCCGAGACAAAGAAGTCTACAATGTGTTAGCTCCAGATCAAGAAGAGAAACGCAATGCGCAGCGCTCCCGCTGTAACGGCAGGCAAATAAACTCATGGCTTCAAGAAGTAGACGATAAATGGGAAAAAATAAAGGTAACATTTTACTTCATTGTTTCATGTGTTACAAATACCTAATAATGACTTGTAATTTATAATTAATTGATAATCTTAACACATTCCAATTTTCAATATCGCAGGAGGGAATGCTTCGACGTCAACACACGGAAGCTCAAACTCTGCATGCTGTGCAAATAATGGGGTGGGAGTGGAAGTTAAAAGAATGTGGTATTTGTGATTACAAAACCACACCCAAGATTGATCCGGTCCACGTTCCGCAGATCCACGTGTCAAATTTTGACTTGCCCGCTTGAATTTAAGTTCATATTGCCTGTGTTCATGTCACGTCATCACGTTCATATTGTATTGTGCGTAAATACCTCATTAATTGCTGATGGCCACTGAATCTTGAAAGAACTTTTGATTGAAGGTCACCTAATTACAAAAATACTAAAGCATTAATACCGCCAGCAGAAGGTAAAACTTAAAAACACTAACCGTGTAAAAATATTCAACATCTAAAAATAATACAGTATGTAATAATTATAAATTATACTTAATAACTTGACTTAATAAATTATCAATAAAATTCTTGCAGAGCGCCGATAACTGGCATAGTGCTTGGGTTAAATTGGGGAGACCATGCTGCGCTCAGCCACACACGGGTGTCCCACGTACACGACATAAGTACTGTAATGAATCATTTTACTGAAAGAATTGATTTTATTCTTAAAACAAATCAAATTACATTCATAGATTTTAAATAATTGATTGAACTGAGAATCAAAACCTGTTATAGAATAAAAGAAACTATTGGCTTTATCGTATCATGAGGCCAATAGTTTCTTTTGGTATAAACAGGAACCTTCCTATTGGCATGACAGGTAGACAATATTTCTCTCGCATAGCAGATTCCTGGTTCAATTAAGCAATTAATAATATCTTTGATTGCAGTTCAATTTGTTTTTATAAAATAAAATTTCTTACAGTGGCATTGCACATCTTCATCATTAAGGTATGTGGTATGTGGGACACCTGTCTAAGGAACAATATCTCAGGTTTAATCAGATCATGAAAACTATCAAGTGATCTGATTTTCAATTTGGAAGAAGCTGTTCATATACAAGTTGTTCCTGGATTCAGTGGCCATTTCAGAGAATAAAGTATTTACTTACCAATCGTAACGTGTTGGCATAAATTAGTGTGTAGTTAATTTTTTAATTATCTATGAAATTATAACATCAATTGGTAATAAGAATCAAGCGGAGCTACAAAATTGGATTATAAATCTCTAAATTGATCAACATTATGTTGAACCTTCTATTCTCCCGCGCATCTTCGGTAACTTGTTATTTATTCTCTTCTACGAAAATATCAACACCTCTATTAAAAATAACCTGTTATCGGGAGATGTCAAAATCTAAAATTTATTTTTTTAAAGCTATCAAGGACATAGAATATTATGAATTTATTTTTGAATGGTCCTTGCCTACTAAATGAACGAAGGTGTTCTTTCACACTCGGTTGATACATTGCATGCGGGTTGTGGAATTGTATCTGCTTTGTGTGTGTAACACCTGAGATGTGAGAGAATGAGTGTGTGTATATTTACAAATTATTTTGTATTATATTATTTTATGACTATGATTTAGATTTAGTATTTAAATAGGATTATAAATTTGACATTCATTTTAAAAATTAGTAATGTTTTTCAGGACGATAATTTGTAAGTTTGTAGATTTTAGTTTTAATTAATGATTTTATTTGAAAAGTTAAGGTTGCATATATTATGTATAAATTTTATTAGGAATAGAAACTTTTAAAACAATAAAAATCAGTCTTGATTTATATTTAAGTTGAATAAAATTGATCTTAAGTTAAGTAATATTTTAAATAATATCAATATTGATTATTTTCTCTTTACATGGTTTCCTATTGACATTTTATTATCATTATTCTAAGTCACGAATTGTTCAATATGTATTGGTGGTATTCACATATAGTATTTGCTTGAAGTTACCCGTCGCCACATAACTAATACCGTAGTGCAAAGGGGATAATATGTATCATAATCCTCTTTATGCACTAGCATTTGACAGCCTAGGCGGTTCGTACCGCATGACGCGGTTGTATATTACATTGGAAAAGTGATCACCCGCTGGGACCGGCTAGCAGCGCGGTCCATCGCTAGTGTGTATGGGAGATTATGAGTCAAATTACCGTGCAGTAGTACAAGTTCGCATTATAGTGTTATTTGTATACTAGTTATTGTCAGAAACGTTTTCTTTAAAATATTTTTTTTTAAATAAACCCATTCAATATTTCACATAAATATCCTACTACACTTTGACAATGGCTAGATTTTAAATTTGTAACTGTTTAAGTATTATGAATTTCAATTATCTTCAATAAACTTATAAGTTCAATTAGATCTCAATCAACTAAACCTGTTTTTTATTTATTTAATCTTCTATATTTAGAATATATAATACACCCTCGGAATTGTATACTCTTCACCTGGATTGCCCCGGTTGAGTAAATGCTGCCGCATCGGTTATTATAATATAATCTACCATATAAAATTATGTAGTAGGTATGGACGGGTGGGAATCTCGAAACAAACAAAATATTGGGTTATTTTATTAACCGATTCGTTGCGATGCCTAATTTCACTAACTTCTAGCCGTGGCGTTGAACAAAAATAACGTGACACTGATCAGTGCCCAACGCCATACGATTAAATGACACTCATCTGTGTCTTCAGCCATAGTTCATCTGATCCTCAATATGAGACTGAATATGAGATGCCGGTTATGTTCAGTCTTAATTCTTATATAGTACTTAGATGGCGGAAACTGGGTGTAGGTGTAATGTAGTAATTTGTGATTGTACTCTTCTGCTTAGCTTTTCGGGGCATGTTTAGCGGTTAGAAGGCATGACGTTGTCATTGCGGGTGTTTATGATCGGCCCTGATGGGTTACCATTAGATGTTAATGATACTGCTCAGTTGCATATCTCATAAAAAAGATCTATGAATAACAAACATAAAAAAATACAGTCGAATTGAGAACCTCTTCCTGTTTTTTGTAGTCGGTTGAAAAGAAATACGGCACACTGACACTTATATTAAACTTTATGCTTATCATCTTCAGTTAATGTAATAACTGGGGAATTATAAATCAAACTGATACAACACAATAAAATATTTTTATTAATTCTCTAGTTAACATCTGACTAAACAATTAAAAAGTACTATTATACAATTTATGACTATCTAACTATGTATATATAAAATTACAGTTACGACATAACATACACAAAATCGAATTTTAGGTTTTTGTATCAACTGTATGTATCAACGTAAGTTCAGTTTAAACTGTCAAATACCAAGCGGTCACCGGTGACCGCAACCTATTGTTCTATAATTGTGTCTGCAAAACCGGTACTCGACGAGTTAAATGCATTATGTGTGGTTCTTTTGTTATGGTGCCTTTACATGGTAAAAAATGTTTTATAAGGTCACATAATATATTTTGGAAAATAAATTACAGTGCTAGGTACCCAAGAATAAAAATAAATCAAATATCTATCAATATTTTAGAACAGCGGTAATGGAAGGAGCAGCCTCAAAAGGACCATTTAGTTGCAACAGAGATATTTCATTGTTAAAAGTGTAATTTTTAACTAATGCACATTCACTATGATACTGCTATTATAATCGCCGTGTGTTATAGGACTAGATTTTTTTCCATGAACTGACACATAACTGCAAATCTCATACATAACTAAAAATACATTTGACTTAACTAAACATAACATTTACAGTAAAGGTAATTTCCTAATAAAACTTCGGTGCCACATAAATGCCGTTGCTAATGATAATGAATACCAAGTCACAACATAAGAAAGATGCTCATTCCTCAAAGTCACTCTTGTCTGATTAGGGATAGGCCAACCTTCTGGCGGATCTGGTATACCTCGAGCATCCAGCCAAACGGGAGCACACCCCAGGTACTCACTCATTTGTTCCAGGTCTCTGCAAAAATTATGATTTTATTAGAGTTGTAATTACTATTAATGCTAAACTATTAATTAAACTTAATTATTAACTAGCGCCTTATTAACCTGCCCCGGCTTCTCACCGGTGCAATGTGCATGTATTATACACATAAACCTTTAAGAATCACTATCTACGACTTTATTTTATATTATGTAGTGTGAGTACATTATAAACTGCAAAAATCGTCTAAGGTTTTAGAGGACAAATACCAAGCGCTCCATGAATATACTGACATCCAGTGTTGTGTGTCAAAAAATAATGTAGCTGACATTGATGAAAAATTCCAATACTAATACCCAAATGATTTGGGATGAAAATGTGAATCTTACCTACAAAACCATGAGCCCTTTTCTGGATTGTTCTTTGGCATAAATGGTGCCCGTTTTTCTGTTAATCGCACGACGCCAACTATCTCAACGTCTCCCTTCACCATAGATGGTTCTCGTTTTTCTTTAGCTCGTAGATTTTGATGAACCCAGCCGCGGTTGATTAGTATTATCTCTCTGAGGACAATATTTAAAACTTATATTTAATACTAGCTACTTCCGCGCGGTTTCACACGCTCTGCTCAGCTCCTATTGGTCGTAGCGTGATGTTTTATAGCCTATAGCCATTCTCGATAAATGCGCTATCCAACACAAAAAGAATTACTCAAATCATACTTGAAGTTATGGAGATTAGCGCGTTCAAACAAACAAACAAAAAAGCAAATTCTTCCGCTTTATATAATAGTAGTAGTAGATATGTCTCTAAACAGTCATTATTTAAAGGAATAGACATCGAAAGCTATAGGTTCAGTACACCCTACATTAGTAAATAAAAGTACCGTCATTGTAGACACAATTATAGAACAATAGGTTGCGGTCACCGGTGACCGCTTGGTGTTTGACAGTTTAATGTGACCTCAACAGGGTTCCTTACATTCAGCGTGAATGTGCATCTGAATATTGTTTAAAAATATTATGATATTGAGATTAGATGTTGCTGTTTGGGTTTTAAGTAAAAAATCTTACCCTGTTTCAGCCATCTTGAATGGAGTTATTACCAACCATCCTTGATTCCGTTTGGGGTCCGACACTAAGGATCCTGTTCTTGGGAAAGGTGAATCTGGCTCAATCAGTGCTCTTGGTCCAATAAGAATTTCTTTATCATGAAGAAATTGACCTTTGACTTTTACAGGCATGTATTCCATATTGTCCAGTTTGGAATAGCTGTAACATAAAGTTTCCAAATTAAAATTAACCTGAGCAACAGGAGACATTCCATACATCAGGCCTTAAAAGCACAATAAAGCACAAGTTCAAGTTGTCAAGTTGTTGCTATAGCAAATATTGAGCAACAAGTGTTTTCTATTTTTTGCAATAATTTATGTTAAAAGATAATGTTAGTTCTAAATATGCAATGCATACCTAGCTGGAAATCACTAATGGAAACCTCGCAAAAAAGTTATTCATAATTTATTTATGGTCACTAAAAATTATTAGCAAACTATACCTACATCAACTATTTATAACAAAATGTATACTTTGGTAGTACTGTAATTTATTTTGTTGTTACTGTAATGTAAAACTTTAGCTAAATCTTTTATAACGAAACAATATTGCTTAAGAAATGTTAAATAACTTAAAAATGGCAACTTTTAAATGTAGGCAATGGGGGAGAATTGATGTGACCAGTGTCTCGTTAAAGTATTAAAATTGACTTCTAATCCTATATGCAAATAAATATCAAGATACAATTTCATGATAGACAATACATAAAACATGATACTAACTCGCTGGGCATGGGTACAGGTGTTGCATTGGTTTTAGATTGCATCATTTCAATAAGCCCAAGTTTCCATTGAAGTCGGTACACTTGCCAGCAACCTAAACCAAATGAGCCGACTGGAAGCATCTAAAATCAAATAGCACAGCTAGTGACAGAAGTAGGATATCATAGGATACTTCCTATGATATCCTACTTCTGTCACATATCGTAATGTGTTGTTACTCAGTCCCAAGAAAATAGAATCTATACAAAGTGTAAAATTTGAAATCATTAATCACAGAATGGTTTCTTTCAATCTTTGAAAGTGAATGGTTCATGTAGTATGTCTGAATTACCTGCTCCTCAGTTTTAATATTATAAACGATAATTAATAAAAATTGGTAAGCATCAAACTAATAATTAAAAAGTGCAATCAAATACTTGTATTGGTAAAAACAACAATTTTAAATTAAAGTAGGTATATGTTCAAAATACACAGTTCTCATAATACTTGTAAGTAACTACATACCAATAATATCCATTTGAAAACCTGGCCGTGTTCTTTTTTAGGCCTAACTCTCTGCTGAGCCCGAAGAGCATTGGCCACTGTACTGTTAAATCGTATCATCGTCCTAACCTTTACAGAAATATTTAAGCTGTGATAATTATTTATTAATTGATGCGTAGGCATAACCATGTTTCTAACCATAGTAATCATTTTTAGTACTTGGTCAATAAGCACATTAATGAAAACTTAATTTTAGTCTCAGCTTGCTTGACTTGAAGCAAAACTAATGTCAATATTATAATTGACATTAGTGATATACCGCCAAATGTCATTGTCATGAACATCTGACTAGTGACTGAAGGAATGTTCTTCGCATAGATGAATAATGAAGAAGAAAGAAAGAGAAGAAAAATCATTTATTCGACAGTAGGCACGCACACAGATACAAAAAAAAATACAAAATAATAGGTTCTTCGACTTACGCGTGGCAAAAAATCTGTACTCTGTTTTTAGAGTAGACGTTTAAAGGATGCATTAAATTATTATTTTGATTAAAATAGATAGAATAGACGCCACAATTCTATCCGGCCGCAAAATTTTTTTTTGTCTTTTTTTGTTCCATAACAATAGGTACCTACTGAAGTAAACTGCATGGTTCAGTATCAGCACGATTGTGGCAGTAGCCGGGGTAACGAACTGCTACGCGCCTACGCATCATGTCACGGGTTTGATTCTCGCATAGAACTAGGAAGACTCAGGTACGTTTTGTGTGCCCCACAAATCGTTGTTCTTTGTCTGGATATTATGTGTAGTCTTTAAGAAATTTTATGTTTATTTATAAACGCACGATATAGGGGAACAAACAGTTTGTGAACTTTGAAAATATTACAATCGGTCTTGTCATAAGTGTAAACGTCAATAGCTTTACCCGATTCGAAAAACTGAATTCCAATTAGAATTCCATAGCAGCGTTGTTTCAACTTCTAGTCGTATTATCATAACCATGCATAATATAGTTCAATTGTGCCGTCATATTTACCTATACCATCGACGACTGCGTTAGACTATACCGTCACATGAAAATTCCACGTTTATTACTTATTATTACTTACAATTATAATGGTTGGGTTTGTGGTGTCTGTCACACATTTGTCAAGGGTTTAACTGGATCTTCTTGGTTTGACTGAGCTAGTTTCAAAATCCAAATTCCCAAACCCTTAATTGCCAAGCCCTAAAAGACCAGCTTGTAATTTCTTCTACCTCGAGTTTGCATAGGTGGCACCGATTACTTATCGTCAGAATAAATTACACAATCTATATGCTCGTTTGGCATAAAAAAACTGCAACCCTATGACCAAAGACTACTATAGCATACTGGCTATGACATAAGAAACTGCCAGACCGTCTTTCACCCAGCTTCCTATGTTGAGAAGGCTAATCGAGTTTTAAATATTCCGATTAACGATACAACACGTACCTACACTCGATGACACTAATTACTGCGCCCCCACACATCGACACATCTATGAAATTGCCGTTCTGCAGTACTGGAACTTTTTTCCAAAGGTAGTCACATCTTTATGTGTTAGTGTTACATTTTCTTAGCATTTCAATCTTTTTCATGGCCAGCTGATTTCCTTGAGAAAGTCATCAATAAACCTCTTCGTTGGCAAAGATGGATTGATTGCATGGATGATTACCTACTTAACTACGTCGTCTCCTCTAGACCTTCAATATTTCTAATAGTGGACCAAAAAACAAATTGCGATAACATGAATAACGGTAACTATATTATATCTACTAGTTTCTTTGTGTTCACATTATTTAACAATTATGAATGTTATCCCTGTATAAATAAGGTTTACAATGATCGGCTATGTAAAATAAATTCAACCGATATATTTCCGTTTCCATCAAAGCAATTCGTTCACTATAATCAGTCCTATTAGACCGCATACACAAACTTCTATAGTTTTATACCACAATATTTTACGTCTCATAGTTATCCAAGTTATTTATAATGTCGCTAAAATGGCAACAGTGTTTTTACAATCGAAATCAACGTAGCGGATTGTAATCGGTTGTATTTTATTGTTGAGCTATTATATATTTTTATTAATTTATTTATTTAACACTTTTTGTACAAATGTATACAATGGCGGACTTAATGCCGAATGGCATTATCTACCAGCCAACCACAGGGTGATGCAGAGAAGTGTTACAGTAGGTTTTAAAAGAAGTTTGCATCTATTGAAATAAAAATACGAGGGTGATAAATATACGTATATAAAGGTATCCCAGTACATAAACTACATACCGATACTACATACTAATATGAAACATATAAATATAATATGTAAATAATTATAAATATATATAAATACATAATGGGTTGATACAATTTATATAATTGTATATATAAAGTTTCTGAGGAGGGTGTTAATTGAGACTTGATTGTGTCAGTTTTTTCTGAAGATATTCAGTGACTTTAAATTTAAAGGATAGTCGACTGGAGGCCGTCCTGATATCCGTGGGCAGCGCATTCCACAGTAAGACTGACTGAATGAAAAATGGCGAGTGGAGAAAGTCGGTTCGGTGTGTAGGACCTTGGAGGAGGAGATTGTTTGTGGAACGGAGATACTCATTGTAGTTGGTGCTCACATATTGAAAGTAGGAGGCTAAATAATTTGGAGAAGTGGGGGAATTAAGCAGAGAGTATAAAGTGGTTAGTGCCCGTTGTTCCCTGCATTGACGTATGGGCAACCACTTTAGTTGCAATCGGTATCCATGCAGAAACATGGTCGTATTTACGCTGGTTGAAGATGAATCGAATACAGTTATTCAGAATTGCATTCAGGTCATAGTAGCGAACATCAGCATAGTCAATGATAGGAAAGACCAAGGAACGGACAAGCATTATCTTGGTGGAGGACGGAAGAAAATTTTTAAGGCGATACAAAGACCGAAGCGTGTCCGTCACCCGTTTACAAACACCAGCGATCTGAACACGCCAAGTCAAATTATTGTCGATGTGCAGTCCCAGATCCTTCACGTCACTGCTGAGCGAGATACTCGCACCGTCATATAGAAGAAGCAGCGGCGGCACTGCTGCGCTGTCGATTCTACCAAAGGTACGGGAACTTCCTAAAATTTACTGGGATTTTTGTAATTCTTATGTTTAGCGCTGACTTGCTGCAACGTAAACCAACAGAATTAAGCTGATATCATAGATTCAGCAGCATTGGCGCGCGTTGTTACGCTGATGGAGAAGAAAGTACCTATTAGAAGTAATCCACATCAACCGTGCGTTCGTGCACGATGTCGTGGTTGGATTTATTTTATGGCTTCTATATTCCATGTTTCCAGAATCCTCAAATGGCCCGACCATACAAAACATTATTTGAAATACAGTGACAAAGTATTATCATAATATACTACAATAAATATACCTACTAAGTAGTATACTTATTACTCATTTGTTTTTTGAAGATTTAACTTAGTATAAGTAATTAAAATAGGCTAGACCAAATGAGTCGTCGCGGAGAACCTAACGGGTTACCGCGGTTCCGGCCCGACGTGCATGAGAAGGACCGGGGTGGTGAACGGTTTTTAGTCAGTAAGAGTCTGACACTCCCTCCCGCTTCCCCCAGACGGGCTCCCGCCTGGGGGAAGCTTTTAATATAATATCGCATACCTATTATTGGAAGCAAGTATAACAGCTCACACATAGGACCCACTTAGTTTTTAGTCAAATTTCCGTGGTGCTTGGCGACTGGGCTTCACCCAGTTGTACAGTCTCTTCTTTGTGCCTTTAGGCTTAATTCATTCTGTCTCCTGCAGTAATTCACCGAGGGAAGTGAAAACCATAGTTTTTCTTCTTCTCCTCTTATAATATCTTCTGATTCACTTCGTTGCGGGAACCAAGACAGTTACTCATGTCCCTGGGACGCGCCGGACTTCAGTGTTCCGGTGTTTTCATGGTTGTATCTACTGTAGATCCTGGCTTACAGGAGTTGCAGCGGTTTCGGGAGGATGTGGCGGGCTTGTCCCATTAAAAAAAAAATAATATCGCATAGGTAAAATCTAAATTTGAAACTGTTCCATATTGCAGCTGTTCATTTGGCTACAAAAAAAATAACCAATAGAGACCAAGATCTTCCAATTTCCTATTACTTCTCCAGTTTGTCCTTAAAGGTAGGTACTATTAGCAAGAGCTAATGAGTGCCACATGCCATAAAAAAGTTTTGAGAATTTTGTAAATTTAATAGAATCGTGAATTAAGTCCCATTAGACTACATAACAAATTCTAATAAAAACATTATTATTCAGTATCTGTTACTTAAGAAAGAAGTAAAATTTCTTTTTTCACCCTTGCGCAGTACAGTCTAGCTTTTATGCCTTTCTTGCATACCTACCTTAAATTTAGTTGACTATTTAGGGAACAGACAGTAAAGTTCCTTAAGAAAAGGAAGTTCCTTCGACTAGGCGAGGTGATCGTGTCTGGCAGGTTTTCTGACCAACAGTTAGACCAGTCCAGTTTTCTATAGTTACCTATAGGACCTCGTTACAATATCTACGTAGGTAATGCAGAATACTGAATAATAATAAAAGTACCAGTATCGAACAATTCGTAATAGTATAGGTACTAGATACGTACACAAACGATAGAGGTTAAATAATTTTACACAGGTGTTACGAAGAATGAAATGTCTGTTTTACGATTATAAATACGAAAGGTACAAATCTATGTGGCACTCGCGTTGGCACAGTTAGTAGACACGTAGCGACACAAGACTTTTGTAGATAACGCTCGAGTGATGGTGGGTGTCGATAAAATATTATATCGATTATACATACCTACGCAAGCAACGATTAGGTACTGTAAGCATTCTGGTTTAGCTTTGATTTGGTTATTCACCTTTACAACATGCTAATGAACGGCATAATCCTGTTTTGATAAACATGTTACGGTAGCTAACAACTACGTAGATTAGTTCCCTATGTTACGAGTACCTACAACACAATTTTTACTAAACGCATATGCTTTGCCGCATGCAATGGTGTTTTAATAACTATGTTACGAGTGGGTACCTACAATAACATAATTTTTACTTTATGTATATGCTTTGCCACATTCAATGCAATGAAAAAAAGTATTATTATCACTTTATTTTTAATGAGAAAAAAATATGTTGAATCATTACATCATTAGCAGAACAGAAACAGCCAGCTATTAGTTTCGATTGAGACTACGGGTAAGGGTATGTGCCCAGCCCCGTGTATGGCAATAAGTTCATCCCCTATATTTTATGTGACCATAGACTAATATGTTATTTGTTCATGTACCATGCATGGGACTCATAAATACGCAACTAGTGAGTGTTAAGAGTTAAGAAGAGAATACGTCCTATCCCTTAGAATACGTATTTCTGTGAAGACCATCATCGACAGCTCGTATAACGCTTTGTGAGTAGTAACAGAATTTACAACTCTACTCCAATCTATAATAAGAAAAATTAAGTAGATATCTATAAATTATTATCGACACAGCTCATCACTGAAATGGACAGTCGGCAACATAGTGTATAGTCTATGGTTCCAAATCATTTTTAGTGTTAATCATTGTGTCGTCAGTGCTCAGAAGCGACGCACACGCATTTTCGACATGGCGACCACAGCCGGCGGGAGCGAAACGGTGAATTCATACTTTTATTTACTAACTTTACGATTTAATTACGTAAATATGGATTATATTTACTAACTTTTAATTAAAACTACAAACCTATATCTGTCCCAATGCGACAATTTTGGCTATGCGATTGTTTACTACATATATATTATCATACTTTTTATTGTACACTTAGAAAAATTAAAGGAAACGAAATATTTACAATAAATAACACATTTATTGTAAACTAGCTGTTGCCCGCGACTTCGTCCGCGTGGATTAATGACTTCTGACAGAATTCATCAGAATCAATTCAGTTTCAGTGCCCAAGTAAGATTTACCTATTGTGTAAAGTATCATACAAACTTTCACCCGCTATTTTACCCACTTTGGGGTGGAAATGTTCAATCAAAAACCTTTCTAAAGGGACGTTTACGTCATAATATCTACCTGCACGCCGAATTTCAACCTGATCGGTGTAAAACTGACAAAGCTTCATACAAACTTTCATCCCCTACATTACCCCATTGGAGGTGGAAATGATCAAAATCCTTACTTGGTGATGCCTACGTCATAACATCTATCTGTATGCCAAATTTTAGCCCATCTGTCCAGCGCTTTGAGCTGTGCGTTGATAGATCACTATGTCAGTTAGTCAGTCACCTTTGAATTTTATATATACAGATAGATATTTAGTTTTTAGATTTTTTTTATCTTTGGCTACTTTAGTTACAGATGCCCTACGATATGTAAACTTTGAGATAGGTACAGGTTGTTAAAAGTTTTTTTCGATTTTGTCCGAGATTTAAGTTGTAAAGAATATAAGATTCTACAATATCTGTGTATAGACAAATGGCATAAAACCCCTGGGAAATGAAAATAATTTTTTTTTGATCTTTGTCCATCAAATTTCTATAGAAGCGGACGCCGTACGATATGTAGATTTTGAGACAAGTTCTAAGTGGTCAAAATAAAGATTTTGGACAAGTTTTTAGCCGAGTATCTCACATTCCGGGGTGAAACCCTTATTTTCATAGGCTATAAGACTATTTTTGGATTGATTTTTTGTTGTTTAACCCTTCGTGTGTCTAAAACGTGGATCCACGCGAGACAATGTATTTCTATTGTGTCTCATATCGGTGGATTCACGCGATTAAATTATATTGTTGTGTTGTGTTATTTAAGAACAAGATTTTTGTTCTTGATATGTTTTTGGCAATATATAATTTTGACACCTAGGTATGTTGCTTTTTCGTATAATATAGAAGGTTCCGTCAATTTCTATTTGCATTTCTATACGCGTACCATACGATTCAATACACATACGACTCGATTCGATTATTTGGGTTACCTACTCTGCGAGTAATGTAACGATACAATAGTAACGAGTACTCATTTTTATAGTAATTAAAACGTCTACGGGTTTGCTTTCGAGACGTGCATGTTGTTCCTCTTTCAGCAACATGCCAACGAATATTGAGTGCGAAATCTTGATATTGACAATTTTATAAACAGAAGTTTGGAGTTAACTTGTAGAAGCGCTATTTTCAAACTTTGCCTGGGGTTTTAAGGGGGGGGGGGGAAAGGAAATCATCGAATTACTGCTCCCGCCTAGGTGAGGCGGGAGGCCCCATTCGTGGTGGGGCGCGCCGTACGCGGGTTGCCTAGGGGATAGGATGTGACCTAAGTGTACAAAATTATCCTGTCCCTAACTACCGTACTTACCTACCTGCTTTTAACTAAGTACATATGTAGTGAAACACTTTATAAATATAAATATTACGTAATAATTAGGTACCTATGGTGATAAGTTATTGATTCTTTGTATCTAACAGCGGACTAAGTGTAGGTACCTACTACGATATCAGGGAAATATTAATTTTTCGTCGCATTCGAATAGCGCAAGTGATGATAACTGTAAACCATTGATGTCCGCAGTGGCTACAATGGCTGGTGCAGACCCATGATGCCAAACAGCTGTGGGAGGCGCAGCCCACGTATATACTGTCTCAAGCCGTCTACATATTAGCTGGAATTGTCACTCTTATACATGGTAAGTTATTGTTTACAAGATTTTATTTAAATTGAATGTTTTAATTCCAAGGTGGAAAATGGTCATGCCTTGAGACCTTGAGAACGCGTTTTATTCTAGGCAATAAGTTTGTTATGAGTATAGGTCCAATATCCATAGTCAGGTATTATATTGTAGCTAAAAGGTATTACTTTTCGTTACAGTTTAATAAATAAAGCTGAACGATAGCGCTGAGACTGAAACAAATGCGAAACGTTTTGTAATATAATGATTGTGTGAGTGGTGATGGTGGAATGGAATTTCAATTTATTTTTGTTAGTAAAAGCTAGGTAGGTATATATTTAGATTTCATAAACTGGTCCAACCATCAATACCATCTATTCTTAAAATACATATGTATGTATAGTAATATATTATACCATGTCCTAACTAACTGACCAAACCTAAGTTACTTTGATTGTGTGGGTTTAAAAATGACGAAACTTTTGGAGATGTTAGATCGTGGTGGTGGTAGATCAGTGACCTTGCTCCTTATTTGGATTATCTTGGCGAATTATATAACTTTCATGCGTTTTTACGTCTTGAGTTGTTTAATATTTATATATCATGAAAACAACAAGGTTAAAAATATGGTTGTGTTAGAGTTCAAAATACCTAAGAACTCTAACATCAGCCTGTAGGTAAATTGTCCCGCTGGGAAGACTCGCCGATTTCTCATACAGAGAAAGACGCGAAGGAAGATGAAGAACCTCACGTCTTTTGTTTAAGTTTTTTGTCACGGTTTTTCTAAAACCCAATTTCTGTTCTAATCCAATCTCTATATTATTATTTTTTAAAATTTTTTATAACATGTTTATTTACTTACAATATTCCTACGTTAGGACCACGGGTTTTTTTTTTAGTTGTCATGACTAGATACTTACATATTTTATGATTTGACGTAGGTTTTATTTCTTAGTGGTTTCAGCTTTATCTAACATGTAGCACAATTTTGGGACAAATTTACCTTAATTTACACCCAACGAAAGCGTTTACATGGTACTGAGTAGAAATATGTTTGCAGCTTTCAGTAAAGGCGGGAGATGGCCATACTTCTGGCTGGGTACGATCCTGCACGGTCTCTTCACCGACAACTTTTGGCATTTTGCACTGCCAGAGTATGATAACTTCTGGCACTCTCAGACACCCATCATCTTCTTGGGAGCCAGGCTACCTCTTCATATAATACTTTTATGTAAGTTGCGTTTTTAATAAAAACTATAATGTATTGAACAATGAGTGATAATATGTTTATTTTGTCTGCAATTGAGTCTTAGGATAATCCTGTACTCGATTAAATACATTTCAGATCCCGCATTTATTTACCACGCCGCCTACGCGGTGTCCAGATTGAATCTCCCAAAGTACAGTGAGCCTTTCGCAGTGGGTCTTGTAACAGTTCTGGTCGACATTCCTTATGATATTGTCGCCGTCAAGTTTGTCCACTGGACGTGGCATGACACCGACCCTAACATATACGACCGCCACTACTGGGTGCCCTGGAACTCTTACTACTTCCACGCTACATTTGCTGCCAGCTTCTTTTACTTCTTCCATGCGAGTAGATCTTGGTTCGCACCAAAAGTAACGCAGTGGGATGCAGCTGAGTAAGATATTAGTCATTAAATTAAACCTCACATAATTAATTATTAAAATAATTTTAATATTAGTAAATCACTTGATATTTAGGTACATAGTTGTAAACAATAATACATTGTACCTTTGCATATTTTTTTTAGCAAAAAGGCTGAATGGAAGTCACTAATGATCTCGTCTCTGCTGGGCATGCCTGGGGGAGTGCTCATGTTTATTCCTATCTACCACCCGCTGCATGATGTGTTCAAGATTCACTCAGAGGTGACCTTCTTCCTGCTGTTCTCTATCTTCGCCATGATCGTTCTATCTGGACTCCTGAGCGAAAGGCAGAAATGTAACAAGAAGTATGTTTTATTCTTTGTATCTTACAATATTAAAATATCTAATCGGTAGTTATTAACTAAAATTTATTTTTTCCCAAGGTTGACAACCATCGACTACGTGATGATGGTGCAGCTGGCGATCCACTACCTACTGTACCTGACCTTCACAATATTCTTTAACCCTGAACAGGAGCGCTCTCTTGGACTGCACGAGCCAGTGGGGCCGTGCAATGAAGTTGCAACCCTCACGACACCATTCGGACAAGTATGTTTGTTTTATTTTTGGACTAGCTTTTACCCGAGGCTTCACTCGCGTCACAAAAGAATAAAAAGTAGCCTATGTGATATATACCAATACTGTTGTTTTCCCTCGGGAATATCAAATTTTTCCGGGATAAAAAGTACCCTATTATTTAATCCGGAGTTTTAACTTTACGTTTGAAAAATTCAAAGCAATCGGTTTAGTAGTTACGGCGTGAAAGCGAAACAAACAAACAAACTCACTTTCCAATTTATAATATTAGTAAGGATTAGAGTTCAGTGTTAGACATTTCATAAAAGGAATTAATATTGTCCAATAATAACGCTAAAACCTCTCATATCATGAATTTTTCAAATTGTAATTTTTCGGATATTTTAGATAGTTATAAATTATGAATTTCACTCATGTGTTCCATCGTTAGTTATCATACTAAATCGTCGTGATTAAGATAAAGTTTGTGAGGATTCATTAGCACATATAACTAATTAACACTTGTTATTCTGCGTATCAACGATTACAGCTGATGTTGATAAGCCCATATCGTTTGCTATCAAAAGTATCATATTCAAATAATGAATGAATATACAGCTATTAGCACTGGCTGATATAAACAAAAGATTTCACGCAAAACCACTGGCACAAACTAACATTTACACATTGCCTATGATCGTCTTTAAACGTAGTTTAATAATTTTCGTAAACTAAATACTACATAAATTAAAATTAAATTCGTTGAAAAAATCGCATTCAACCTCTTTCTAAATAACATGAATTATGTTATCTTTTAACCTCTTTCTCTTTTTTTAAAAAATATTATACATATACAGGGTGTAAATGGAACGCTCCCGAAAAACGCTTATAGATTATGGTCAAAAACCAGTTTTATTTTCATGAAAGGAAGGAATGAAATGTTTCCTTTATGTAATAATTAGTGTAAATAATCGCTCAAGGCTGACATTGTATGAATAACATGTAAACAACAACGATTTAATATTTTAAAAATTTTTGTCAGCGTTTTGCGGGAGCGTTCCGTTTACACCCTGTATATTTTTCTCAAATCCACATCAAAATCGGTAGTGGACAAACATAGTATACGTACAGACAAAACTGCCGCGCAACGTGTTGCAGAGTCGATTCCCGTACGGAACACCTCTTTATGAGATGGAGTGTTGTTTAGGTGCCAAATATATATAACATTGTTTGTATGTCAACGCTCCCGTGACATAAAAAAACACAGTGTGGGGCAAAGAGTAAAATAAGTATAGGGTGTGGGGTTACATTTAAAAAAAGTCTAGTTTACCGTTGCTGGTAGAAAGTGGCTACGGTACTTCTTAAAATTGATTGAATAAATAAAATAATACCAAGTCACGATTTCCAGGTATTGGAGAAAAGGAAGTACTTCTGTCCTACGGACTACAATGAAGATTATTTCGACTTCCATTGTGTCAAGGAGCTGCCGCGCAATGGTGCCACTTGGTACCTCATTTGTGGAACACCTTTTGAGTAAGTACTGTTTTGAAAATACACAAATTAGTATTTTAATTAATTTAATGAGACGCAATTATTTAATAGTAATTTGTTAAGGAAAATGTAAAATATAGATACTGCTACAAGCTATTTCCCACTAGGACATATCGTGATGTTTTATAGCCAACCAAACAAGTAAATAAACAAAAGTACAAATTATTATTCACCCTATTTGTTCTTGTTTTGCGTAACCCTGGATTACAAAGAATTAAATATAACAAAATGTTATTTCAGAAACCGCGCTGAGTACATAACTGTGTTGTCCACGATACTGGTGGTAGCCACCGGTGTGTTCTACGGTCTCTATTTTAAGACTGGTGGGGGTACTCCAGATGTTACTCCCAAGAAGCTGAAGAAGAAGTAGTAATGTAATCTTCATACGGTAACGAATAAGGCTGCTGTCAGACGGAATACACTGCAACAACCGCACGATGTCGATATATTCAACTGCAGTATTTGAATTAAGAAAAATTTAAATATTACTTGAAATCAGTTACATTCCATTTTAAACTGTGGTTTTGACTTTTCTTTACTTCTTGCGGTGTGTGCGTGTAAATTATTTTTATAATTTTTGCCTGGTTGAATAATATAATATTAATAACAATAATTTCTTTATTTCTCCTCACAATGACACTTATTCTAGTTTTAATTTTTTTTTTATAATCTAAAATACCTGTATTATAGATTTACAAGATGAGAGACTGGAGATTTCCAGGTCCCCACCCCACTGAAGAACAAGAAGTGTTACATAATAAATATAAGATGTATTACAATGAAGTTTGCAAAAACGTCAAAACAAAGGATTAAGCGAAAAAAAATATTTCGGATAGAAGTAAAAAAATGGTTAATTCACATAATCCCTAGTGTGTGTGTTTCTATGTTGTGTAACTGCGAGTGTATTGTGTGTAGTGTTAGTATGAAGTCTCGTGCAACGTATGGTGGGGAAATGTACCAGTCCGTGTGAGTGTCGTGTTTGGTGCAAGTGATAAACTTAAGTCCAACCAATTCAGTTGGAGTGCAAAAGATTTTCTGTACCATTATAGTCCCGTTTTTTTAGCCAGTCAGAAATAAATCTTACATTTGGTTGTTGGCAAGGAATAAAGTGTTAATGCTTTATTTATTTTGTTGTATATGTTGGAACCCTAGTAACAAAAATATCTTTTTGCAAACTTAGTTTTGACGGATGATGAAGAACTGAGTGTATGTTTGTTGTTTGATTCCGATTCTGTCTGGTTCAAATTTCGTTAGTGCATGCCGTCTCACAACCATTTTCAGGAAGAATAACTGTGTCACAGCAAGAACTTTCCCATTCGAGTAAAGTTCAGAAGTTGGGTGGTAAAAAGGTAGACAAAACCCAGTCTTTAGAAGAGCTCTTTGAGATCTCTCGACTTTTAAAAGGTGATAATTTATCAAGCTGAGACTGATAGAGAACATAGTAGATCGATTTTAAATCTGATTTAGGAGCAGTATTTCTCAAGGTTTTAAACATAACTATTAGTCTACGCACTCTCGCCGATAGGAGACTAACATGATAGTGAAATTTACGATTTCTGTCAATCATTACTTCTAGATATTTCTTGACTACAGTATTCTTCAGTTTGGGATACTGGCAAGCAGTGTCATCTGGATTTGGGCATGAATGGGAGACAATTCCCAAACCGGGATCAGGCTTGTCATTTGTATGAATTGAAAAATTAATATATGTCGTTTTTACCCGACTGCCAAAGAAGGAGGGTAATGTTTTTCGAGTGTATGTAAGTATGTATGTATGTCTTTTCCTTTGTGACCACCTGTAGCCTAATTCCTACATTTAATGTGAGCAAATTCTTATTTAACCAGTTATTCACAGTGTTCATGCCCAGCTGCGCCTCGGCATAAACATCATGCCAAGAGTTACCACTGAAAAGTAGGGCCGTGTCATCAGCAAAAGTAACAACCTTTGAGTCTGGAGACAGCAACTGGCATATATCATTTATAAATACTAAGAAAAGTGTCGGGCCAAGAATACTGCCTTGCGGGCACTGAAAGTCACAGGAAATACACCAGATTCTAGTGACAAGTTACATATATGTATTATAGGTTTTGCTAGAATGTTTATATTTGATTTCAAGATGTCGCTAGATATCATATCAATGCCCATTGAACAGTCCCTTTTTAACCCTGCTATTAAAGACAACCTCATCCTCATCATACTTCATTGTCAGCGTATTTTTTTGCTTTTTTATATAGATTATCATGGTTTCTAATGCACTTTAGAATACCCGGAGTTATCCTGGGCTTTAATATCTTTTTCCTTTCGATATTTTGAATTATTTTTAGTAGCCCTGTATAGGATATAATTTAATTGAATATAGTGAGTGTAAAGTAATATTCGTTTGTAGTAAGGTAAAAGTTAATGTACTAAGGTTAAGTTTGTGGTGTACGTGGGTAGTGTGATGGTAGGCGCTAAATAGGTTAGGTAACTAATGCATGCATTGGGACAAATTTAGGCCAATTAGAGAGAAAATCTAGTCAAATGTTTTTTTTCTATGTTAAGTAGATCTTCCTCACAAACGCGTAGTCGTGGCTGAACATCTTTCCGTTTCAGAAACACCTTGCCAAACGAAGTCCAACAGAGATCATAATTATGTTTTTTTTTGCAAATATTCGGGTTATATAGTGTAGTGTAGTATCTGGTCAAAGCTGTTTAAGATTCGGCGAAGTGTATTAGTCTTGCTGGACCATACAATGTATGGTCAAAACGTTGTCATGTTCAGATTTGTTGTAATTAAACGTTTTTCACGATTTGCCTTGTTGTACGATGCCGAGCCTTTACAGTCTGTTCTCTCTTTATAGATATTGTGAAATCTACGATTATAAGGTCTACTGGTTTGTCTTTCAGCTTTAGACGAGCCGACCAGATACCTCTCGAATATTGGAGTCTAGGATTGGAACATTTACAACATTTCCAATAATTTTGGCAATATCGCCTAGAAGTTCACTGTTCTCCGCTATTGTTACTGGGACATTTCTTATCTTAATCATTGTAGACCGTTCTTTTCTTTTCAATGTCTTTATTATGTTTTTTTAATGTGCACTTTTCTTGTCGAACAGTTTTCAATTTACCTTTCGTGTATCTAAACGTGGATCCACGCGAGACACAATGTATTTTCTATTGGGTCTCATATCGGTGCGTTCAAGCGGTTAAGAACGCTATCGTATTTATCGGACAGCAGTATTATTGTCTCATTTATTTCGGCTTTTTGATTTCTAATTGTACAATTACAACAATGTTGTTGAGTTAGTACATCATATGTAACGGAGAAATAATTACCCGCCACTCGCTTTCGCCTATGACTTGCGCCAAGCGTCAACGTGCTAGTGATGGTGGGATACCGCTGTGTGTTGTACAATGATGATTCCGTTTATTGTTTTGTTTTGCTCAAGCCGCGGCACTATTCAGTTCCACAATACAATGCACTTATTAATTTATTACTTATAATTACGTTAAGTTCTGACAAATATTTTCATGTGAAATGTTGCTAAGACTTTATAGCCCTATGGCGGCCCTAAATCTTTAAACCCTAATTTTACACTTGAGTTGCTCCCTTAATATGGCCGTAGTTAACAGTGCAACTCGTAGCCCGTAGGGCGTAACTTGTAGCATTTAGCTCGTAGCGCGTAGTGCGTAGCTCATTGCTCGTAGCGCGTAACTCGTAGCTTGTAGGGTGGAACTCGTAGCTCTTAGCTCAGAGCGGGTAGTGCGTAGCTCATAGGTTGTAGTGCGGAATGCATGGTTCTTAAAATGTAACTCGCAGAGCGTTGTTCGGAGCTCGTAGCGCATAGTTGTACATAGTTGTACGTAATGTACATTTTTCGTATGCGTGCATATAGAGTAGCGCGTAGTGAATAGGCCATTGCTCGTAGCGAATAACACGTAGTGCTTAGATCGTAGCGTGTAGTGCGTAGCTCGTTGTGTGTAGCTCGTAGTGCGTAGCTCGTAGTGCGTAACTCGTAGTGCGTAGCTCGTAGCCCATAACTCGTAGTGCATGGCTCGTAGCATGTAACTCGTAACGTGTTATCGTAGTGCACAGCTCGTAGTGCGTAGGTCGTAGTGCGTAGCTCGTAGTGCATAGCTCACAGCGTGTAACTCGTAGTGCAAAGGTCGTAACGTGTAACTCGTAGTGCGTAGCTCGAAGTGCGGAGCTAGTAGCGCGTAGCTCGTAGTACGTAGGTCGTAGAGCGTAGCTCGTAGTGCATAGCTCGTAGCGCGTAGCACGTAGAGCGTAGCACGTAGAGCGTAGCTCGTAGCGCATAACTCGTAGTGCGTAGCTCTTAGCGTGTAACTAGTAGTACGTAGCTCGTAGTGCGTAGCTCGTAGTGCGTAGTTCGTAGTGCGTAGCTCGTAGTGCGTAGTTCGTATGCCGTAACTCGTAGCACTTAGCTCGTAGCGCGTAATGCATGGCTCTTAAAACGTAACTCGTAGAGCGTTGCTAGGAGCTCGTAGTGCTAAGCACTTAGCTCATATGCATAGTGCGTAGCTCGTAGCGCGTAGAGCGTTGCTAGTGTTATAAAATCATGTCACATCATCATCACTTTTACTCTACGAAGAGGTGACTGCTCGTCGATGAAGTTGGACATCACGACTTTGCCTCAAACAGCTTGAGTGAAATACCTCGGCTTTCACTTGGATAGACGTCTAACTTGGAGAGACCACATCAAAGCCAAAAGAGATGGGACAAACAGGCGGTTCATGCTTTAAATAAAAATCTTGCTTTGGCCTCTCAGAAGGCAAGCTGCTTTATCGCTTAGCACCAAATTATTGGTATATGGTGGTGCCATTTCGAAACCAATTTTGTTATATGGCATACAGATTTGGTCGACTGCCAGCAAGTCCATCATCACAGGCCTTTAGAGGGTGCAAAACAACATCTTACGTGTTAATGCAGGTGTTCCGTAGTTTGCTCGCAACTCAGAGATCGACTATCTTGGTATTATACCTCTAAATGTCGTAAGTGAAATTGACCAGTACAAGAAAAAGTACATGGAACGTCTTTCTACACACCCTAATCCACTAGTGATGTGCTGCCTACCTGAGGGGCCGTCTGCAAATAAAAACCTGTAGTCACTTAAAACGTCATTTGGCGTTGTAAATTTGAAATAAAGCAAAACACGCGCTACGTACTTCACTCTACGAGTTACGATTGTAGTATTTCACTGCAACATAAGTGTAAAATTAAACTTCTTAGCATGTGACCAGTTTGATATAGGTCAACCCTCAGATATTGATCGTGTGGACTTCACAGTAGCAAAGGTAGGGAAACTATTATCAGAGCTGGTTCTGTGTAAATCTGCTTAATAAACTTTTTAATAACTAATTTTAAAATATGTATTTACCTAATTTTTTTTAACCGACTTCAAAAACGGAGGAGCTTATACGTTCGGCCGGTATGTTGCTTTTTTTTTGTATGTATGTACGCGCATAACTCTGAGATGCGTGAAGCGATTTGCAAAATTCTTGTTTTGTTTGAAAGGGCACCGACTTCTTACCTATCAGTGGGTGGGTAACCTATCAGTACTAATAATAGTTATTTTTTGCTTTTTAGTTTTGACTTTTTGTTTGTTATTAGTTTTTGGTTTTTTGAAGTCGGTTTTTTAAACGCAGTTTTTACTACGCCTACTGTTTTTGATATATTTATAATTTTACTTTTATCACACGAATAGTGACTAAATAATGAATAGTTAGCTGTCGAGTGAATCTGGAAGTGGTTCAATGTTATTATTTTTCTGCTTAATTTATACAATGTAGTGGTTGATTTACCATGAAATAGGTAATTAAATAAAGCTGATAGATTTAGGGCTGGCTATGTATGGCGAGCAATTTGGCTCTATTAGTTAAAATGGTCAAAAACATTTTTTGTTTTGAACTGGTAAAATCTTAACTAAAATGAGCCTATTTAAAAATCTATAGATATTTACGAGGAATCTCAGTGTATACAACTTGAGAAAAAAAAACATAAGTCCTTTATTTCCTCTCTTGCCTTGTGGTACCCATGCTGCCGCTGCCCATGGATTTTAAGCTTAGAATATCTAGAATGTCTAATTAAAAATATTTCTAATTACACATATCTGGTAGAGATTAAACAAAACGAATGTTTTCAAAACCATTTACATTACTCTCATATAGATACTAATACTAGTTTAAATCAATCTCAATGTTTAGTTGCAGATATTTGCCGCTCGGTGCGCTTATAAATCATCATGCAACTATACATACACAGATACATATACTATACTATGTATTTACTTTCTTATTTTCTATTATACTTACTTATAATTTCTCTATTCTACTGCAAGGAAGCCAGTATTGTATCTGTTTCTTGTTTGTTGTTATGTTGAATATACTAACCGTATCCTATAGTATAAATTTAATGTGATCAATCTTCGCCGCACTCATTTGGATCCCTTCCAACACTGAGGATTTCTTGTCGGGAGTAAGTCGGGAATATAATCAGTCGATAAAGTGAATGTATAAGGTGCATTATAACATTTACCATATAGGTGTATGATGTTCGGTAGTGTCTAGAGAAACACTTGAATGATAATGTGTTTGTGTTTTGTGTGCATACCTATGTGTTGCAGTATTAAATTATCTAGGTACCTACACTAAACTTAGGTATTATTCTTTCTGCATGCCTTTGTCCAAATTTATTTAGTATTGGTACCTATTATTACTGACAAAGACTTGACATCCTCCACACAGAGTATCCATCTTTGCTTTGGTAGACTACCATTCCTTTCTTCCACGTTCAAACTCAGCACTTGCATCGTATAATTTTCATTCTTTCTTCTCATGAAAATACCAAGAGTCCACTATATATCAGTTTTTAGTCTTCTTGTAACATATTCATTCAAGATAATTATGATGTAGACACGTGTCATTGTACTGTTTGTGTTGCATTCGGTTTACAGGTTCTATTGTAATTTAATGAATGATTGAAAACCAATTTTGGAATATCATTTAATCAGTTTAATGATATGACATGCAATCACATAAATTCCCTTACTTGCTATGCGACTCTCGAGTGACCCCGAGAGTCTAACTACACGCTAAGAGATAATATGGTTACCAAGTGGAAAGTAAGTATAGATAGCAGGTTCGTTAACTAAACTGCGTACAGCACGTACCTAAAGACCGAAACTAAGCATAATAGTTAAATTAATAAATAATCATAATTAGAACTCTTTACTTGATCGCTAAGAGACACTCCTTACACAAAACAATATTCCTCACTTCGATGGTGCTCAAATCGTTGTTTTTTATTTTTCTATTGTTGGCAGGAATATCAAATTATACATTGTGCGTTTAGATTGTATATATTTATTAGTAGTTGATACATTTCCTGCTTACAACACTCAGTTGATCACACTGCACTACAAGTAAGTCCCTAATGCTTACGAATAAATTTAGTCCAAGCTTGTATCTACTGTTGTATATAATACCGTCATACGAACGGTAATGGTGCGGGTAACTTTACAAAATAATTCACTTATCAAAACAAATCCACTCTAAAACAAATCCACAACGAAGAAACTGATCGACAAATAAATAATAATATTGATTCACAAAAGGCCATAAACTCTACGCTCGTTATGCACTTGTATATCCTAGAACCTAACCTATGGATAGGTATACACGTATAACTACTTACAATATCTCAACATTGTGCATCACAAATAAGTGCCGTCAGATACACGTATAACATTTATGTATTAAATATTATGTACTTTAATGGGATAATCGAATTCGAAATCTTTGTGCAGAAAAAACTAAACACAGCCAACTATTACATTAACAAAAATACCGAAATAATATCACAACCGTGAAAAATTAAATTAGGTATGCTTATACCTAAGGCTACGGTAGGCAATGACATGACACTAGCAACTTAAGTAATTGCATGCTTCGTGCACAACTACAAGGAAACTATTGTTCTTCCAGTCCTAAATAAATCTAGTTCTTCGGTAATCTGTTAAATAACTTAGTGAAATAATTAGAGCAATAAATAAATACTAAAACTAGAGGGCTGCGGCGCACGATGGAGGCAAAGTAACATAAGATTAACGTCCGGAATTCTGTCAGTCTGTTACAATTAAACAAATAATACAAATTACATCTCCCATCTCTTAGGTTCGCTCAGCAAATTCACGACAGCTGATGTTCCATATGATGTCTTAGGTCTCGTATGCAAAAATGTGAGCAAATAATTAGTTATTATAAAGTACCTACGATTACTGATTACGCGGTTAAATACGATCCTATCGCTAAACAAGTATACATTAGATTGTATCTTGTATACTCACTGGGCTATATTAGATGCATAACACAATAGTACCTATCATGTAAAATAGATTATATATTAAAAAAGTTTACGTATTATGGAATGATTGAATAGGTATCTTATTAACCCAATATTCAAGCATTAGCGGTGTTTCTATAGCTATAAAGACAATTCAGATATGAATCTGAAACAATAACAATTTGGCTTCCGTAAATAAACTCAATCAATTTAATTGTTAGGCTTACTTCAATCGTCACAAGTATCATTGTATGATACAAACATTTAGAAAAACAATAAAACATTTCAATTTTTTAACCACCAGACTAAAATTAAGAATTTGATTTTTGAATCCAAACCCGCCTATTATTATTATTATATCACAATTAGTTAACTGATTTAAAAGTAAACCGATTCAATCGATTTTCGACAAAATATACATAAATGCCAAAGGTTTACAAACAATATTATGTAGTGTGTATATATGTTTTTGTGTATAATTAATCTTAACATATTATTATGAAGACACATCTTAGTGTGTATGTACGTAACTAAATATTATGACGATAAATTAATTTCATTGACTTTGAATCACTTAATAGATATTCGATCGACTATTTTGGTACCTATATAAAGCATACCCATAATAGAGATCGAAGGTAATATAAGTAGACAAATTCGAGATTTTGAACCATTTTGGTAGACACACCCTGTGGAAATTGCTAAAATCTAGCTAATGTACATCTATCAAGTGATTCTTAAGTCAATGATGTATCTATTACGTAATTACCTTTACAAACTATTATTTGAAGGCAAGTGGTACCTACTTTAAACCCATGTATAAAACCTCACACAATAAAGTTACGACTACATAATTATGTATATACGGTTGCGTCTAGTCAATGAATATACCGGTATCATTAACGCAACTATTTTGAATGAACTTGAAACACAAGGCCGTGTCGAAAGAGTTGCGGACGGATATTCAAGCAGGACTGGAGAGAAGCGGAAAATGATTAAATAATCGTACGGTGCAGGCCGTGCATCTTAATAGGAACGAAAAATCAGTGCATGTTTGTCCCCTACGTATCTAGCGACGCGTCAGGAACAGCATGTCCACGATGGAAGGATCAGCCAGCGTGGACGTGTCCCCGACGTTCTTGTCGCCCTGTGCTATCTTGCGCAAGATGCGGCGCATTATCTTGCCGGACCTAGTCTTTGGCAGTCCAGGAGCATGTTGGATAACATCAGGGGCGGCAAAAGCTCCAATCCTGCTACGTACGCGTTTCTTCAACGAGTCGATCAAATCAGCATCAAATTTGGCACCTTCGTTTAAAATTACGAAACAATAAAGGGATTCGCCTTTCACTGGATGAGGCTTAGACACCACAGCTGCTTCAGCCACATTGGAGTCCTCAGTGAGGACACCTTCGACCTCAGCAGTGGACATCAAGTGTCCCGACACATTCAGCATATCGTCGATACGGCCGGTCACCCACAAGAAGCCATCCTCATCCCTCCGAGCACCTGTAAACAAAGGCGTATACATTATAAGCACTGATTAGAATAGAAGGCACTTATGTATTTTGAAAATTTATCTGAAGCTATCTGAAATAAGATGGTAATAATAAATTACCATCTCCGGTGCAGTAGTATCCCGGGAATTTCCTGAAATACACATCTTCGTAGCGGTTGTGGTCCTGGTACAGAGAAGTCATTATGCCAGGCCACGGGCGGGCGAATACCAAGTAGCCTTCACCAACGCCTTCGATGACGCGGCCGTTCTCGTCAATGATGGTCGGCTCGACGCCAAAGAATGGGAAGCCCTGAAAAATAATAAAACATAATAATTGAGTTCTCTTACTGCTTTATTTTCAATCAAAGAGATTTTATGGTATGTTAACTTACAGCGGCCCCTGGTTTCATTGGAGTAGCAGCGGGCAGGCTAGTCAACACGTGACCACCGGTCTCGGTTTGCCAGAAGGTATCCACAATTGAGCAGCGCCCTTGGCCAACGACATTGTAATACCACAGCCAAGCTTCGGGATTAATCGGTTCACCTACACTTCCCAAAACGCGCAACGAGTCTAGGTTGTGTCTGCAGAGAGAAACATTATTTCGTGTGTTGGATAAATAAATAAAAACTTCGTAAAGTTAGGGTGTTGATACCTCTATTAATGTAAACGTAGTGTTAATATTGAAGACACATAAATAACAGTTTAAAGGCAAACTTTTTTGTATTGTAACTAAGTAGGATCGAGATTTTACTCTAACAATGATATAATGCTGTAAAATAGAATTATCTCAATCTAAAAATGACGAACAAGGTTTGTTTCTCATAGTTCTAAAATAACTGCTAAAATGGGTACCCAAAAAAGATCCAAATTGATAAAACAATCGTGATTCAAAAGCTGTTCACCTCGATATCGTAGGAAGGTCTTATATTGCAAGTCGTGATAGAAATGAGTCCAATGAAATGATCAAATAGAACTATACATGTTATTTACACGACGAAAGTAAAGCGGATAATCTAGGTACCTGAAGGGAATTTTTAGCACTATATTTTACTAAGCGTCTGTTCTGTAGCATAGTTTCCATTTAAATTTCGGTTTTAATTTTTGCCAAGAAATGTGGTAAAAATGTGTCACGTATAAACTAAATATTGCGCATTTGTAACTAGACACTGTGAAACAGGTTCGAAGTCTTCGCTTTTTAGAATTTACTGGTAATTTCAACTTAATTGACTAATACGTGACCTCATATTAATTTCAAATTCAAGGAAAATACGATGAAAACATGTCCTAATCATGACGGAGATAAATGAAATGCGAGTTTTCATTAGTTTTAATAAGTATGTGTAAAAATTAGCCTTGCCCCTAACCCTGATAATTCGAGATAGAATATGACAGTAACTCAAGATACGATTGATGTTGACCTTTGCAAATTAACAATTATTGGAATCGGTAGCAGCGATCGGACGTTGATCCCCGCTCCGCTATACATTTTGACATGAAATTTGAATTCCCGATCCCGTTGTCGATACATTCATTAGTTACAATATAAATTTATTGCATGTTTTATAAATACATAGGTACTTGAAGTATGTGCTTAGTAAGACTATTATTGAATTAGGCATCATAAATGCGCTCGGTTGACAAAATATTGAGTAGTAAGTATAATATAATAAAAGTCGAACAACGTCTGCTATAGCATGTAAAATATTGCAACGGATAGCATATTTTCAAAACCTACCTTTTCACCATCTCGTCTCCGAATTTAGTGAGAGCTCTGATAGCAGTAGGTGCGGTGTAGAATTGCGTCACCTTGTACTTCTCACAGACGGCCCAGAAGCGGTCATTGTCAGGGAAAAATGGTGTTCCTTCGAACTGTAACAGAATTACAACATGACTAAGTAAATCAGTTCTTATTAATAAAATTCAACAATATCCAGTCATCGGGTTCATAAAAATGGGATCATATCAGTACCAAGAAAATGTTCCGGGAGTAAATGGCAAAGCGAAATTCGGAAAATGCAAAATGTTACTAAAAAACATTTTCAAAGTACCTACCTATCCGATGACTATATCTACTTAGTAATGACCATTCATGTTATGAAATATTTCAATTCAAATTCATCCCACATTTTGATTTCCTAGTTTGACAGGTAGTAAGTACAAATATATACCTACTGTATCTTTAATTACAACTTCGCTTTATTATGTCGACAGCTTCACAGTCGGTGGCAAGGTTACGTCTAAAATTTTCATAGTTAATGCGTTAAGACTTGCTCAATGCCAAGTTCAACTATACTATAGCAGTAGTAATTTAGTAAATGATAATCTATCGCGTGGCTTTTTATTTTTTAGTATTTCAGCAACGAAAATCTTAAACCGAAGTCAAATAAAGGGGTAGAAGCACATGAAGTTTACACGCCTATGATGCAATTGACAAATTATTTAATTACTAGCTACTTCCGCGCAGTTCCACCCGCTCTCCTTGGCACCTATTGATCGTATCGTTCCATAGCCTTCCTCGATAAATGGGCTATACAACACTAAAAGATTTTTCAAATCGGACCAGTAGTTCCTGAGAGTAGCGCGTTAAAACAAACAAACTCTTTAGTTTTGTATAACAACTAGCTGTCCCGGCAAACTGTGTACCGCCGGAAATTTTCTCTCACATTTTGTACCTTGCCTGGACTTTCACGAACATTTCAGGACTAAAATTATCCAAATTGGTTCAGCCGTCCTCGAGTTTTAGCGAGACTAACGAACGGAAATTAATTTTTATTTATATAGATATAAGATATAATAAAATAAAATAGTTAAGATGATTCTGTTTACAATGTATTGATTATGGATAAGACGACCCATTCGTCCTAAGATCTAATGTTGAACTAATGTGAACCAATGTTCTTCTTACGGAGTAAATGAAGGTCATTTAGTAAAACGTCAGTATGTACAACATCAAGTCATCTCAATTATAACTTAGTATATAGGTATATATATCTAGTCCTCCTTACCGATTTCGGTAACGGCGATCCTTAATACCTATCTCCTGTCATGTGCCCTGATGTGACTGGCCAGACCGAATTTAGTTATGAAAATCCGATCACAACTAGAGCAGTAAAGCTGTTATAGCACAGCTATAACTTAGTAGTAAAGCAACTATTACATTATCTATTTTTACACATATATCATCAAAATGTTTACAAGTTGATATTATGCAAGTCAATTCCTAAGTTTTACTTTTAATTAAATTGTTGTGCCTCCTCGATGAGTCACGCTCAAAGTACCTAGCTACTAAGTGTATTTATAACTTGTCGCTCTGATTGGTACCAAAAATGATATGACTTCTTATCAAATCACTTAGGAAAAATACTCCTGAATAACAAAGTTGTTACGAAACAGCATGTGATATGTCCTAACAAGATGAACACATCATAAATGCCTACACAATGGCACCAGTTAGCAAATAGCAACATCATTTTTGGAAAATTCCTCTTCCTAAAAAGATAAACATGATAACGCAAAGTCATGATTTTACCCCACTGTTAGTAGGTATCTAACTCACCGATCAAAATTTTTAAATAATTATAGCATAGTAACCTAACAGGTATAGGCCAAAACGTTGGAAAAATGGAGATAGCTACAATAATTTTATGAAATTTGCACAATAATAACAAGCAGTAGCTTACCATGACAGAAGTGGCAGCGTTGGCCATGGGTGCATACACTACGTAGGTATGGCCGGTGATCCAGCCGACATCGGCCGTGCACCAGTAGATGTCCTTCTCACGGTGGTCAAACACGTAGCGGAATGTCGCCGCGGCATACAGCATGTACCCAGCTGTTGTGTGCAGTACACCCTTCGGTTTTCCAGTAGAACCACTGGTGCAGCAAACAATAACATTTTAAAACAGAACGCGTATAAACTGTTACAGAATTTATAGACAATAATTTACCTAGTGTAGAGCATAAACAGCGGGTCGTCAGGGGTGAGCCATTCTGGTGGGCAGATGGTCGACATTCCCTCCACGATATCATGCCACCAGATATCGATATCTTCGTTCCACTTATACTGCAAAGTATGAGAGATGTTTTAGATGCAAGAACACTTTATTTTCTTACTGTGGTCCGATATATGTAACGTGTCGTAGATGGTATGAGTTCTTACCAGGGTCTTAACGTCATCGGGGATCTTCCCACAGGGAGTCACTCTATTCAAGTGGGGAACCACAATACACATATCAACGTAGTGGTTGTACTTGTCCTTTGCTTTCTGAATAGCCTCATCACACGTGTTCTTCAAGACAAGCAGCTTCTCTCCTCGCCATGCGCCGTCCGCCGTAACAATAGCTTTAGCTTTACAGTCAGACATGCGCTCGGCCAGCGAATCGGATGAAAATCCAGCGAACTAAAATTATAAGTACCTATATTACATCATTAACCTTATTAAATTTTACAATTATGTTCATATATAAACAAACAGGCCCGAACCGACTTACCACCACAGAGTGTACCGCACCAATCCTAGCACAGGCCAACATGCACACGACGGTCTCTAAAATCATCGGCATGTAGATGGAGACCCTGTCTCCCTTGCCGATCCCGCGCTCACGAAGTCCATTGGCAAATTGGCAAACTAAGTCCATCAGCTTCATGTATGTTATGCGGCTGTAATCCTCGGGATGGTTACCCTCCCTGGAGAAAAACAACGTTGGCTCATAGAACAACAATCATTTTAGTTAAGTATTCATGTAAATAATGACTTTCACCTTCCAGGCTAGACAATACGTGCTCATTATAGACACATGGGCATTACGGCTAAATAAAGTAACCTTGTGGTGATTAATCACTATTGCTCAGGAAAGTTCAAAAAGTGAACGTTACTGAATACTGAGTTAGTGAGAGGCTGAAGTTAGTTAGACAATGTGTTAGCAGTGTCTACAATTATCCTGTATAAACTAATTGGATACGATCTGAATGAAGTAAGAAATGCCCGATTTGAATTAAAAGAATAAACATATAGCTTTCGGAAGACTGCACCAAGTATATTTTTGTCGGAACAAGGTTCCTTAACAAAATGGCAATATTGCCGGCATTTCATAAATTACCACAAAGGCAACAAAGTACCAACATACATATGTACATGCTTATATTTTTAGACTCAATAATCAGATACGCGGTACCGTCTCTCCAAATTGCACTCTCTCTAATTAAAATGCTGGCATCCAACCCTTCCCTTTTGTAAATGAGATTTTTCCATCAGTGGTCCCCTACGCTACGAATGTTTTGGTGATTCATCTCGTAGGCGGGATTTCATTCCCCAGGGGGAGCGACTACGAGACAGACAATAAAAAACATTAAAACTACGCGCAAAATCGATACGTCCCGTCGGACGGCCACTCTCGGCATGAAATTTCATCTGTCTGGTTATTAAGCCCCAAGGGTTGTTGATTGAAATGTTATATGTTATGTTTACACTGTTCTCCGTTCCGTACCTTATTTAATTGAGGTTTGGGTGAATTTAGTTTTGAAAAGGATTTAAGGTTTGGGTCGCTGTAGTCGATACACAACAATTCACGGGTAGACAACAAGTCTTGAAATAAAGATTAGCCTGCATTGCTACGAAATGTGAAGTCAGTAGCTAAGACGAATCTAATAAATTGATGATCGTAATAAACAATTATTTTTAATTAGGTTTATTTATTGCTGAGTATGAAATATTGAAGAACTTTTTATGTTATAGTGATGGACGGTCGTCTAGAACAATATACAGTAAATTAATATTATCTTATATTCTTGCTAAAAATATTTTGATTGAAAAAGTTTTTAGCAAGAATATAAGGTACCTATCTACTCTAAGCCCAGACACATAATTAAAGACATTATTTGATCTAGGAAGATCTAGCTAGAAAGTAGAAAATGGCAATAGAATCGCCAGTGTTGTGACGACTATTATTCCTTCCTATGATTAAATCTACGTAATGTATGTTTATTTATGGCAGAAATAGACATTGCATGATGATACACGATAATATGTCGACTCTTTCATGGTGTAGGTATTAACGCATTTTGTTTTCGATTGTACGTGGACTATGAACCCTTCTGTTGTTTGTTGTCGTTATAAAAATCTAGTCACTACTCTATCTTGCATAGTATTTCTATTTATGTTGTTATCTCGAGATAATCTAAATGAAATCAGAGGTATGAGCGATTTTATCTCGCTTCATATTATCTGTAGGTACAACTATTGACGTAGGATTATTTTTAGAAAGAAAATACTTAGTTGCCTGCCTACACCTGTTGTTGATACAAGATAAAAATTCAAAGTAGGTAGATTGCAAGATTCTGTCAATCTTCAACTGTCAAGGAAACGTGACTGACAGATATACTGCAAATAGGCGTGTCCTTAGAAGGAAGTCATTCCATATTACGTAATAATGAAGATTAAGAAGATAGTGGAATATGTGGGATAGCTATACATAAGAACCTAACGGGTTCAAAACCGGGGCTCCGACTCGAAGTGCAGGAGTAGGAACGGGGTGGTTTTCAGTCAGTAAGAGTCTGACACTCCCTCCTGCCTTCACCCAGTCGGGAGCAGCCATTCGATTATTTCTCCCCCTTAAAAAAAATACGTAGGGTAGCTATGCGGCGTGACTCGCGATCACTCCATTTGAAATTTGTACAACAGCAGACACATGTCATAATATATTGTAATGTGTTGTGTAATAAATACTTATTTCTTTAGAAATAGTAAACTTATTGGTCGAGGTGAACAATACTAGTTAACCTAGCTGCGTCTAGTATGAGAGATTGTAACCTTGTGCGCTACATGAATGGAAACAATTTGCATTAAACAACTGGCTCACTCTAGAAGTCGCCAGCGTGACTGCTGATAACGAGGTCATGGGTTCGATCCTCAGTTCAGAGGAGTACTTGGATTTAAAGGATTTTTCGTTGGTTCGTGATTAGTGGCTAATTTCAAAGATAGAAATATAGGTACCAGCTGCAATCGATTGGTTCGACTTCTAAAATTCCGTTTTAGCAGATAATGTGCATAATATTCACACGTCCTTATTGTAATGATGCCCTTATTTATAGTATATTTAATAAACAACATACATTCGGCCGGATACTCAACAAGGCAGGTAAGTACTTACTTATCTCGTTAACTATAGATACGTACCTACTCTTATTTGATACAATGTTAGGTACACCAAAATATGTCAATAGCGATCTCAGATAACGATGATTGTATTGCAGATAGATACTGAAATTGGAAATTTTGTGAAATGTAATATACCTATACCTAGTATCTACATTTTTTGTTGTTGGGTGCGGGTAACTGGGTACTTCGGTACTCATTTATTTAGAACCATGTTATATAAAGGGCACATTATCATCAAGTTTTCTAAGCTGTCACTAGACACTTCACTTTATTTCGCATCCACCTCTACAACGAGGCAACGTCCTGTCAGGGGCAACACTCCAACAATGCACTCTCACAAGCAGTGGATAATGATGGGAATAGCGTGGCAGGAGCGGCCTGGTAGTCAAGCTTCTATTAATTACTACTATCGTCGTCAGTAAGAGTTAAAATGAATAATTTATTATTCAAATTCATTATAATTCATTAATTATATACGTTTGTATATAATAATTCCCCTTTATTTTTAATATAAAAAGATTATACAATATGGATTGTATAATCTATAATAAAAGGGGAATTATTGCGACCTTGCTTTGATTTAGTCATCCTATTCCATTATCGCTTGCACACATTATCTCGATAGAGTCAGCAGTTAGACGTGTGACAAGATGACAACTATATAAACATTTTACTATTTCCCAGATACGAGTAGGTAATTATTGAAAGTTCTGTGCATTAAATATTACATAACGTTGTAGTTTGGTACTATCACATGAGGTTGGGTGGGAAGTGGGTTTACTGTGACTTTCTACCCTTCGTATCCATACCCATTAATCGAACACACGAAAAGTCTTTTAAAGACGTTCCCTAATTATGTAAAAATACTTTATCAATCTTCTAGAGACAAATCTGCTATATCATGACGCTGGGCAACGAGATAGTAGTTATTGGACTTTGTGCCGTAGCAAAACTGAAAACAATAACATTGGAAATAATCTGCCTAAATAAACATTTTTCGTTTGACTCACGCTTATCGGGAGCCACACACTGACACTAGTGTTGCACTGCTACATACAGAAATACAGATTACCAAGTTTGGCCATTGTACTGCTTCACAATCGGCAGCTTCGACCCATTGAAAACCGTTTGAAACCACAAAAGACCAATGAAAGTTCGCGACTCGTGAGCAGATACATAATACGGAGACAGCTATAGTACACATACAGTATATTATGATGTATGTATGTATTATATAAATATATAATGTACTTACAGTAATAGATTTTGTTTGTTCAATCATGTCTCTACATCTCGTAGACAAAACTGTTTTATATTTAAGAGTCCAAGTAGGACCAAGTAGTAATCAAAATATAGAGGTTAATGATGATTGAGATCATAGCAACAAAACTTGCAAGTGTGAAGCACATTCCGTAAATAATAAGGTATCATCTCATTGCCATATTTGGGTTCAAGATTTGAGCATGGATTATAAATTGATCACTTTTTACTAAGACGAATTTTGTTTTTAACCTGATGTATTTTATCTATTAATATTCGGGCTTGTCCCCTTTGACCTGAGATTAACCACAAAACTGGCTAAAAGTGGTTGTATCAAAAGTCGGTCCGTTTCGTGGAACGACAGGCACGATATTATGTTAATTTTGTATATGTATAGCAAAACGATAAGCAGTGCACCTATATGTAATGTTATCTGACTACTATTAACAAAAATACGGCAGTGTACATAATTATGTAATCAACTTTCGCAGTTTATACTTAACATTAAGATGTTTCAACGCATTCTTAACTTGTTTGATTTTCTACTGTTTGTTTAAATACTATGTAAGTATACTTTTGTTGTTGAAATAATATGAGTGAAGCAAGTGTCACATAGAATGGTCATATGACTTAGATACCTCATTAAGTATATGTAGGTGAGTGCTCATGTCAGTACCCTGTAGTGTTATGTTAGTTGGACCGACTAAATTAACGAGGTAATAAGATGAAGGACGTACGTACACGACATACTAAATATGTATAAACATGTAGATGATGAAACAACTATAAAATAAATACAATACAATAAACACGAATTAAGTTTTACGTTTATGTATATTTACTTGTGTATACATACTTACTGCACCTATGTACTCATGCTGTTATTACGTAACTGTCCGACTGTCCGCGTGATTAGTATAAGAATTGAAAACCACTCTTAGGTAATTTTATTTCCTTCCACATAGAGGGTGGATAAGTAAAGTGATCGTGGTGATTGTCCTGGACGTCTTTGTTGATATATAAATACATAAAATATTAAATAGATATAAAAGTATAAGGAACCACGTGTTGAAGCTTAAAATAGATACATAGTTTATGTTTATTATTGCACCTTACTGCGGCACCCATGAGTGCTATGTCATGTTACATTAATTATTATGGTACTGTATGATATGAAAGAACAAATTACACTTTATTTATATAGGCAGTATGACATGAAGGCAATTAACTTTAAGTAAAATTGTTGTACATTTAATTAGTAATGTGTTTA